TATACTACGACGCACAGCTCCACGAATGCAGCATTCAAATCTACGGAGTAGTACTTGGTCCCCCCCCTGTAATTCTGGCCCCTTGTCATGTACCACCCACTTACCGGTCCCTACAGCCTACAACGTGATGTTGAGGAAGGACATCGCTAAGACTACAATCACTGCTCAGGGCGCGCTTACGGGGTATTTTGAGTCTTATGATATTCTCCAGGGGCCTTGTTCAGTGGCGACTTTAACCTGACAAGGGGCCATTATTTACCCCAGCTACTGCGTACAGTATTGGAAATGTTAATCTACATTTAATACTACTTCGTAGGTGATGACCACCCCCCATTTGATGGCGAACCCACGGCCAACGCCAAGATTGGAACAAAACACTCACATTGTCCGTCCTCTGAGTTTGGCTTAGGGACAAGCAAGGGTCTTCCAAGAAGAGAGCGCTACCCACCAGGCCGGGCTAACCAGAAGTGGTGACGATTGGACAACAATTAACAGCCGGGGGACGGGTCGGGACGCTAGTCGGAAATGAACAAACGAAGCTGGAATGAGGAGGTGGCAAAATCCCAAAAAAAGCCTTGTCGCCGTCGTCCGTCCGACCCAGCCGTCTGGTTGTTTGAGCCCTGGTCCAATACCTCGGGTTTCTTTCAAGGAGTACATAGTGTACACTACTTCTACTAAGTACCTCGTACACCGTCCACCCACACCCGGACAGCTGAGACGGCGTCTCCTCAATGGTATTCAAATCGATCTCAGGTCGCGATTGGTAATGAGTGCCTCTGGTTGAGCGCACTATTGGACGACATCTTACATCAGACACGCATGAATTGGCTAGGCCAGTCTGCCAACTTGCCGTCCCTGGTTAGGGAGGAGCGGTGACCACAAGAGCAATACGATTACAACGTGTTGGTCCCTCATCCAGACTTCGTCGTGTTCCTTTCTTCCGTTGTCACTGGAGCCTGTTGTTTCTTTGGGGGTGGGGATGCGAAATTAGTCATATAGTAACCGATGCTATAGGGCCAGGGCTGGAGTCGAACGTATGAAGTACTTATCCAAGGCTGCGCCAATGAACACTGTGTGAACACTGTATTTTTCACTGCTTCTTTCATTGTTCTACGGATTCGACTCGGAGCCTTGGTGTGGGTATCACCAGATGAAGCTGTGCGGATTAAAATGGGAACTGTTGTTGCCGACAGAGCTTTCTTCCCCCCTCACCACTCTCACATCGCTGATGTTTATCTTTTTTTCATGCCAGGTGTAGGCATGAGAATAAGGAACGAACGACTATATTACGCGTCGATGTTGTCTCTTGAATGCCCCGCAGTGTGTGTTGAGTGGCAGAGTGTCGACGACGATACTTCGTACCGGCAAGGCCTTGGGCTGTCAGGTACTTCGTACTTCGCCATCGCCCGGTACCTGTGCCTCAGTGCAATCATACGAAGTATATAAAAGATCTGGAGGACGAAGTAAGCTCTATAAGTTGAAAAACCTAGGGATAGTTGGGGAATGATGGTCATTTCGCTCTTTCGTCCTTCAAAATACATGCAACAAGGATTGTACACCTTAAATGAGAAGAATTACTCTGCTGATACTTATTACCGCAGGTTCTACCTTTGTACAGGGTAGTACACCACCACTTCTTAGAAAATGATTCGGAGCGGCAAGTGCATCCCCTGCCGTATTGAGCGTTAATCTAGGATTGCCGGTCACCCCTAGGCTTTCTCTGTTCTCATCGGAACCGTCATCTGCAACCGGGCATGGATGCCTCATCACTGGCATGAGAGCCTGCTTTGCCGTCGTTCAGAGCCGCCAAATAACACACCGAACTTGTACTTCGTAATGAAGTACCTGACTGTATACACACAGTACGTACGAAGTAGAGTGTAGTAGTTCACCTTCCCACCCACCATACCGGTCAATGGGCTTTCTTTCCTTCATACTTCAGACATTTATCGAAGGAGGCAAGAGGGACTGCGTCTGCGTTGCCCTGCCCTGGATGGACCTGCCCCACCTAGACGCACATGCAGGAGCTGCACCGCGGCACCATCGAATACAAGTACAATTGACGGGACAGTGGACTGGACAGACTTGTTGAATTGGCAATTGTGCTTCGGACCAAGACTGTACCTATACAATTTTATTCACACTAATTAGGTTCTGAAAATACTGGTCCTTCCCCCGATGTTACTGGGGTTGACAAAAATCCCAGCCGAGTATAATCCGCTGATTGCGCGCCTTAGTGGCAGAACAGGCATGCGTGATGCAGCCCTGGCAGTCTGAGGCCTGCTTGAATTGGATTGCGGGATCACTAGATTGCCAGCCGAGCTCGGTAATGAATGGAACATTGAACCTTGCGCAAATCGAAACTACCACACCCTTACCCTACGAGGAGCCACCACAGATTGACAATCCCGCTTGCTGGTTGCTCGCATCAAATGCATCGAAAAGACGACGTTCAAATTACAAGTCTTCCGTCGTTGGACGACCCCAGTCCAATGCGAGGTACGAAGTACATACATCCCAAACCCGTCAGCACATCAAGTACGAAACGTACGCGACAACTCCCTCGCTTCCTCCAGTGTTCGGTTTCACGCATGATTCTCCAAAACCCAAGGGTGTGTGGAACATCTAGTACCATCATACTGCAGAGGACTCGATCGTCTCGGCCACATACCCATTCAATGCCCCTTTCATCCTGGCAGGGACATCGATCGGATGGGAGAGGGTGTATTCGCATTCGAGCGTAGTACATCAAATTGATTGATGTAGCTTGAGTTCGAGGTTCCAAGTTGCTGTTGCAATGTTAGCAACGGTACCCCCAAAAGTTAAGTGAAGGAGCGACTGTACTTCCTTCTCCTGGTGGTGCGGCTTGCCTTACCCCCATCTCCCACCTGCCTGGCCAGCAATACCCCGTCCCCCGTCCCCCGTCCCTTCCTATCAATAGTGTAGCAGTGGAGTGTACTCACGTCGTGCCCAAAGTAATATTTGTGCCGTTATTTCGTACTTTCTTATACTACCACGCTGGCGTTTGTCAGGAAAAACAGCAGTAAACCAACTGCTCTACTTTCGGTACGTACTCTACTCACGTACTTGTCGCGCACATTTGATCCTGGTTGCACGCACCTTGCACCTGCCGTAGCTTTTGCCAAGTTCAATGTTCCCTTCTCCCTCCAGAGAATTTGCTTCAACACGGTGGACAAGAAAAATTTCGGCCAGACCTCCCAAGCTCGAGTTTCGCTCCCTTTGCTCTCCTCCGTCCAGATTCGCTTTACACCTCCCACCCCCCCAATTACTGACGACGTCGATATTCTACTATATATCATGACCACCCTCTTGTCTCTATCTCGTGCAGATTTTCACTCATCTCAGTTGCTCTCTGCCTCTCATTCTTCGAAAACCTTCCCGCCCATCAATCGATTTCACCAACACCCTCCGCAGCCCCGAAATTGACCAATGCGAGGCGATGCCTATTATTTGCTGTTATTGACGGACCTTCCCCCAGCATCTTCTACTCTCGCACTCACGCCCACACTCGCAAGAGATTATTGCCTTGCCTGCTGCCCGCCTGCACCCCTACTTCCTTCGGACTACTACTATGCTAGTTAGAGCCGTCTCCTTTTAGCTCGTCGTTTACTTGATTTCGTCAACGGTATTGCCGACACCCTCCTCCCTACAGGCTGGCTGTCGCGCCGTTCATCCTCTGTGTGCTTTGTACCGTTCTCCTCCTCTTGTGCCACTGCCTCGTGTCATTGTCCCATTGTCCCCCGAGGCTACCTTCGCCAGACGCCTCCTTTCGCATTGAGCATCCTCGACTCCTGTGGCTGTTTGGCAGTCGAAAATCTGTAAGTCACGACCACCACAACCGCTGCCCTTAGAGCAATGCACTATATCTAGCACTAAGTCGCGGAGCGCGCGCCGCGCCTCCCTTCGCCTCTCCCTTGACTTCCCGTCCCACTTCCCACCTTTTATCCCTAATGTACTAGGCTTCGCAGTGTCTACGTTGTGTAACAAATCATGGCTACATTTGATACCGGTGGGGGCTACGGCAATTGAACGGTTCTGTTGCATGTCATTGGTTCATTTGTCTTGCATACGAGTGTAGCGGATAGCTGAATCAGGCACTGCTTGGTCCCTTCATTCTCATCTCTATATCATACCTCTCTGGGCGCGGCGGTCTATTGTGAGACGCTGGACCTGGCCAAACCCGGCCCAGTCCAGCCCATTCTCTGCCGGGGACATGGGAGAAGCAAGAACGCGAGACGCAATATGCATGCTGGGCGACGGGCGAAGATCAAGGGCCATGCTGCAGCGCCAGAAAACCATCCACCAAGGGCCTGCACCGTCTCTGCGCATTGTTCGTTCAATCGCCCTGCATCTTGCCCAGTCGAGCAAGTTTGCCGAGCAATGGTAGTGCAGGATACCGCCATGCTCAATTGTATCATATGGAATACAAGCGTTGACCTGTTTACATGCGATCTGTCTGGCGCGCACTCTTTATTCCCGCTCCTCCCCCGCCCCTTCATGCGTTTCAAGCGCGTTGTTGTCTTGGGGTCCCGGCCTTTATTGTGCAGCTCCACATCCACAACCGACTGACTTGGCATCAGACTTACCACGGCCAAGTGGCCCTCGAGTACTGAGGTACGCGGCCGCTCTTCGGGACCCCGTTAATCTTCTGACCACTGAAATGTGGCCCTCCCCCCGTACAAGATTTAAGCTGCCCTACGAAACCTCTTGCACCTCAATCTGTTCCTTCCCATCACTCCGCTCACGTCTCTGCGCTTTATAGCAGCCCTCCTGACCTGGTATATATAGCACCGACGACTAATCACGAAACAGACCTTACTCTTGTTCACCACGGCGACTGCCAACTCTATTTGTCTCCTATCTCCCAGTGCTTGTCCTCGAGGCCACGAGCCTCTTTAACTCGACGGCCTAGCTAGACTTTGGAGAGAGAGAGAGAGCTGCCATTCCCCACCAGCGCAAGTATTGGTTCCTGAAGCGCCATGTCGAAGGCTCCGTATGTCTCATAACCAATGATCACGTTAACAGTGCTGGCTGCCGTGACGCGAATCCAAGAGGTGGCTATTATCTAACTGACGAGATTCTTAGGGAACCGCCTCGCCGTGTTTTCATGGAGCATGGCCGTGAATATGGCTACTACGACTACCTGTTCCCTTGCGACCAGGTGTGGCTTGCCTATCCCCCGGCCCATCCGTATAGGATTTGCTTGTTTGCTAATCAATGCCCTGCAGCTTGAGGAGGATAAGCTCGATATCTTCCACCACGCGATCCTCGAAGCCCAGCAGAACAAGCTGTATAAAGCTCCTGTCTACTTCAGACATAGATCCGAACCATTGCCGTCAAGCAAAGATGGCGAGGCTAAGACGTTTCCGAGAAGAGCTGGACGGCAGGTCCTAGATTTAGGAACTGGAACTGGGTTGTGGGCTATGTCTATGGCCGAGTGAGTTCATATCTCTCCTGTAGAAGGCAGTTCTTGAGGCTGACGACGCTAAACTGTCTCTTCCAACTAGAGAGTATCCCGATTCTTTGGTATTTGGCGTGGACTTTTATGACTTCCTTCAGCCCCGCGAGTAAGTTGCCCTTGAAGAAGTATGGCAGCGACGTCAATCTAATAATCTTAAGAATTCTGAAAACGACGTACTTTTGTGGGCATGTCAACATCGAGCAGAATTGGGAACCACTCTACCACTTTGTTGATTGGGCTATTCAAAAACGGAGAACGGAAGGTAACCCCAAGCCTGAAATCGACAAAACAAACTGGGACTTGATCTATGTCCGGATGATGAACGGCTCGATCAAAGACTGGCCGGCTCTTTACAGGAAGATTTACAAGTAAGTTCATCCCAGCAGCTTCATCGAGACCGCTACCATCGCCCTAGACAAGCTGGGATTCGCGCGTGCTGACACTGAGACGTATAGTCATCTCACTCCTGGCTTCGGCTGCGTCGAACTCGTAGAGATAGACTGGACCCCGCGGTCGGACGATGATACACTGCCTCGGAATTCGAATTTCGAGAAATGGGTCGGCCTGCTTCACAAGGCGATGGACAGGGCCGGACGGAGTTTGAGAATCAACCCGAACACAAAGAATTTACTTCGCGAGGCCGGTTTCGTCGATGTTGAGGAAAGTACTGTGAAACTTTACCACAATCCTTGGAACCGCGGCGGACACACTGAGCAAGTCGGGAGGTGGTTTAATCTTGGACTTACCCACGGTCTCCAGGGTCTAAGTTTATCTCCTCTAACAAGGATTCTCAATATGCGGGAGAGCGAAGTGAACGAGCTCGTGGGAAAAGTCCGGCATGAAACATGTCTTCTCAAGCACCACGGATATTGCAATCTGTAAGTTCTCATTCATACGCCAGCCTCCTCCCGCCCCATACACAGCAACAAGGTCAAAATCAAGTGGGCTGACATCCTCTTTCCTTTCTCCTTTCTTTTTCAACTTAACAGCCATATCTGGACTGCTCGGCGACCTGCCGAACCAACAGGCTCGACGAGCCACGCCACCTCAAACCCCACAAGTAGCCATACCGGCAACAATGGCCCAAGCAATATTCCGAATGCCACGGCAAGTAGTAGCTCGAGCGGCGCCGGCAAGAAGAGCCAATAGGTATAGCAAGGGTGGCGGGATGGTAGAAGTGCCAACCAACAGCAGCAAGCGGTCGCAGAACAGGCCTTCAGCAATTCTCAGAGTCCATACTATCACGCATGCTAAGTTTGACCTCGACAGGCTGCAACCGTGTAGCCGGCCTCCGGCGTACCTTGCTTATTAGGGGTACCTCCCGGTAGACGAGGGCAAAATGTGGAAGTCTTCGGCGCGGTGTTGGCAAAACAATCAAGGCTACCTTGGGCTGCCCTCTGCAAATCCCGGGCCAAACGAAAGTACCCTCCACGACGCTGACGCCTTCGCAGCTAGCTTGGGACAACCTAGGTGCAGGTCATTCCAAGACCCAACACTCAATGAATATGCAAGAATCTCCACGTCACTGCGGCCAAGAAGGGCTTGTCCTGTTGACACTCCCCCTCACCCCCGGACCATTGTGGGGACAATCACGACCAACTGCATAATTATGGTCAATTGATTTCTTAGCAACCTAGCGCCTCCTTCACTTGCCCCCACTCCTCCCAATTCCCAGAGCCTGCTGGCGCTTTCCCCCCTCCAACTTGTTGACGGGGCAATCTAATTTTTCATCAGTGCTCGCAAGAAGGCCGGCTGCCGGCGCCTTACCCCGGGGCTCTCTTTCGGCTTGGGCATAGAGCATGCCCTACGTGGTAACGGTCCATGGGCAATCTCGGCCATGCTTGGCCCGTTCATATTGGGCATTCAGTCAGCTTTAGTAAAAACATCGCTGGAGGCTCACTTCGCATGGCCCATTACCGCTTACCGATGATGGCCCGGGCTAACTGGCCACCTATCCACTTGAGGCGTCTAACACGGCTGCGACATGGGTAGGGAAGAGTATACCTGGTGGGCGACAGAACATGGGCAGCGGCTCCCTGCATGAGCAGAAAAAGCAATGGGGGTCTTACTACAGAATCTGCGAGGGACGATGGTCTGGCCTCCACCATCTTGGTCGTGATGTGTGCCTAGTGTACTTACTCTGTCTATCTAACCCATTTGTTATCCTTGTTTCGTCTTCAGTTTATTGTTATTGCGTTCAGCATGTTACGGCGAGAATGTTGTGTTCCAGGCGGTCGTCACTTCTATGCCATGCTTTATACGAGGTGGAGGGGGAGGGGTGGAATATCAGGCAAGGGATATACGAATTGTCATGGACTGTGATGAGGCTGTTTTATAGATACAAAAGAAGTTGGGTATGGCATGGTTTTGGATAAAGTGAACATTACTTTGGGGTTTCGTTGAGTTTATTCTTGTTGATCAGATCTGGCATGTCTTCTTCTTGATCGGGAGGTAAGGTCGAGATGAAGGCCAACATGGTTTGGTATGAGATGGGGTCATGTTGGGGGTGGTCACCATGCAGCATGTCCAGTGCGTTTCGACGAAATCAAGCGCGGTCTCACTCGGCTGTCTAGGCCGTGTGCGAGGCCTACTTTTATAGGTTTCGACACGCGCGAGCGTGAGTGCACACTACACACCCATGTATACGCGAGGCCAGGCCGGTTGTGCCCTCGAGATCACCCCTGCGGGATCTTCGTCCAGAGCCCGGGGGTGGGGTGGGGTGGTTGTTGGCCACGGGGCGGGCCGACCTCGACGACAATTTGTATTAATCATTATTCACTATGCCGGTTTGCTTGAGAAGGGTAGTCTTACATCAAAGCATTATAAGTCTGTTGGTTCGAGGATATGATGATATGGGATCAACGAGTGGAGAGAAAAGAGAAAAACAAAAAAGCACGGTCCATCGTCATGCCCCGGTTGATTCTCGAAATGCAATGCACAACGGACCAACACATTATTCTACGTGGACAGGAGAGTGTCGACTTGTTTGTCACGATTTGCCTGATCTGCCTATTTTTTCTTCTAACTTCTTGAGGAGTGTGCCCGATCACACACCCTTTTTCTCCCCTCCTTCCCCCGCCACCCCTTAGAGATTTGGGGGCCCTCGTGTTTGTTCTTCATGTACGTGACGAGGCAAGGTCAGTCACAATTTTTTATCAAGTTGGTTATGCAACCAAGGAAGGGCGTTCTAATGTTGTTGTTGTTGTTTTTTTGACACAACGAGGGGCAGGGAAGGGAGAAAAGTGCGTAGGCAGTACTGAGGTATGTCTGCAATAACATTTCTCTCGACCCCGGGCCGGGAACCCGTTGGCGATACAGACATCACGGCCTGCAGGGGGCGAGGAGGAGAGAGCGTAGCGCATATTGAAGAAAACATGGCATGAATTATCGATTTCACCCTTTTTGGTCTTTTTACTTCCTTTTTTTTTTCTGGTTTTTATTCTGGACAACGAATGTTTGTCTCGCTGCATCGCTGCGGCGCGGGTTTCTCAAGTGAGGAATGGCGATGTATGATGGCCGCAGGGTTGTGATAAGTCAAGAGGGAGGAACTGTGTTTGGATAGTGTTTTGGCTATTGAGAAGTGTGTGCTTGCATATACTTTTCATGCTCGGTTCGAAAAGGGAAGGACCTTTTTCGGTTCCCCCCTCGCTGCAATGCGAGTAAGGTGCGCACGAAGATGTTGTGGTGATGACAGGCTTTTTTTTTGGGGGGGGGGGGGGGGGGGGGCGAAGCTGTGGTGGTGATGGCATCAATACGGAGTGAAATGGATGGGAGAGGGAGGGGCAATGGCTGGAATATCGATTCGCATTGCTGCAAGAAGCAAACAAGGTCCACGGTGGAATGAGGATGATGAGCTCCTCGTAACACCCGAGCCTCCCAAAGAGTAAGTGGATGTTGTCGAGGTCTCCTGCGTCCACGAGCATGCGGGGGTACCGGGTAAGCAGCCTCCCACTTCCTAGACGAGGCGAGGCATCTAATAGTCAACACGGGGGTTATGCTCCGTCGCATTGATGATTCCCCGAGTCTCCAATCACGGTCGTACAAAGAGCCGAAAAAAGATGAAATGAAGGTTACGTTTCGAGAGGGCGTCCTCGTTGGAGAGGACAAGTAAATTGTTTCTGATGTACAAGTTTTCTAAACAGACTAAAACCACAAAAAAAGGCTGGTGGGGAAAAAAGCACCCGGACTACAGCGTGGAACCGTCGATTCGAAGTGAGCACAGGGAAGCGAGAAGGCTATCTGTCCTGCTCGCTTGTACTTCTTCCTCTCCTCGCGGCTCACGGACTGCCCGACCCGGCTACTGTTCAACCCCGTACTTTCTCTATCCCAGGTTGATTCCATTGACCCCCAAGTCCTTCTCCCAATGTATCGACGCAGTAGTAAACAAAGGAAATCCGAGTTCTTTAAGGGCAAAAAAATGGCGTTCCGAGTAAAAAAGAAAGATGCCTTCCTTCTTCTATCAAGCAGATCGGAAACCGCCGTCGTTTTATCCACATTACCAACACAACATTTTGATCCGTCCCCCGTCAACTGCCGCCTAGCTTTCTCCTCGTCCACTAACCCTTATGTTTCGTAGCAGGTTTAGTGGTGGGCGGCGGCAGGCTCACCGTGGTATCCGACAAGCTTGAATCGGCCGATTATCTCTCCGACAGTGAAGAACCCGAGGCACTCGGCAAGGACGACACCGCCGGCGGCGAGCTGGGCGTTGCTGATGCCGGGGATGTAGCCGGCGGGCTTCTGGGCGCCGGACTTGACGGTCTGGGCTACGGTGTCGGCGATCTTGCTGGGCTGTCGGATGCTTTGCCAAGCGCTCTCGTAGAAGGACTGGAAGGTGGCGGCGGAGCTGTGATATGCTCGTTAGTGTTTTTGTTTCGGGGGAGACCTTTTCTTCCGTTTCCCGGCCGCGGATTTTTTTTTTTGTCGTAAAGTTTTGCGCTGGTGTATGGTGTATCGGTAGGAAGTGTGGGGCGATCAGGTACTTACGGAGGAGACATCTTCTGGCCCCTGAAGACGATCTTGGCGACTTCGGCGGCGACCTTGGAGTAGTAGACGACGAAGGGAGTTTGCCCTAGACAAAAGGGAAAGTGTTGTTAGCGCCAGCTCACCCAATGTTGTGGTCAATTTCGTCGTGATCCCTCTTCCATTTCTTCCCGATCCAACATCTTATCACCACTCCAACCAAATCACGTCATCGAACCCTCTCGCGCCACCGAAAGAAAAAAAGGCAAAGAAAGCCCGGTAGAAACCCCAATAACAAAGACAAGAAAAACACATACTCTCAAGGAAGTTGACGACCTTGCCCGTCCTTCCGCCAACCTTGCCCAGAGCACCAGCAACACCCTTCGCCGCGCCGCTAATAGCGGGACCGGCGGCGCTCGTCACGCGCGAAAGACCCTGCGCGGCCTTGCTCGCAGCATCCTTAGCAGCCTCGGTGGCCTTCTCGGTCGTCGTGGATTGGAAGCGAGCGGGCGTGAAGGGGGTAGTGCGGCGCACCGAGGCGCGGACAACCGATCGGCTGAGCATTGTGTCGGTGCTTATCGGTGTGTGGTGAGAAGGAAAATAAAAAATTACGACTGAGTGGGGTTGGGATTATTCGAGCAAAAAGCGGACGAATAAATCGGAAGGGGGTTAGGAGGGTCGTAGTAACACCAATTGATGGGGTTTGAGGCGAATTGGCGGCTCCCTTTGGCAATGGATATCGTCGTTTTTCGGGGTTCTCGAGAGGGATAAAGAGCAAAAGGAAAAAAAATATTAGCTGTTCTGACCTCGGAAGATGTTGGAGGTTTGGGAGGACCGGGTGAATTGGGGCTAAGCCGGATTCGGACGGGAATCGGAGAGATGGATGGCATGTCACCTGAGGACGGCTGGCACCAGCCGACAAGGCACGAAACTTTTCCGGGATGCGGGATGTGGGACTCTGAAGGCACTTACGAAGTACAGAGAGGACAGGCGACTTCTACTTCATACAAAACAGACTTCATGGTAAGGAAAAAAAAATATGTATGAAAAAGTCCAAAAAAGGTAAATATATATATCATGCAAATTTGAGAAAGAGTAATGCAAGTCATACACGAAAAGTCATAAAACCAACTCAGTCCCCGCCATCGCTACACACACAAACGACATTCTCAACACGAGCTTCCTCTCCTGTCTTCCTAGTCCAAGCTCTGGATCTGCACCTTGATAGCCCCAGTCTTAGGATCCGAAGCCGTCTTGAAAGCATCGAGAGCATCTTCAAGCTTATACCTGTGCGTGACAAGCTTCGACAAGTCAATGATGCCACTCTCGACGAGGCGAATGGCCCGCGGCCAGGTGTTGTTGTAGCGGTACTGGAGCTGAACATCAACCTCACGCGTCGACGCGCGCATGAACGGGAACTTGATCTCGTTCTTCCCGACACCAATGATGAAGACCTTGCCGCCGAACTTGGCAGCCCACACGGCCGAGGCGATGCTGCTCTCGACACCCGTGCACTCCATGGCGACGGCGGGCTCGATGCCGCCGAAAGCCTCGACGATGGCCTTAGCCGAGTCCTCGGCCGAGAGCCCCGGGCTCACCTTGTGCGTGATCACGCTCGGGCAAAGCTCCTTCGCGAAAGCCAATCGGCCCTCGTCGATGTCGGTAATGACGATGGGACAAGCCCCAGCAGCACGGCAGCACAAAAGTGTAATGAGGCCGATGGGCCCCGCGCCGCAGACAAGCACGGGGTCACCAAGCCTCACGTTAGCCCTCTGCATAGCGGCCAGAGCGACGCTGAGGGGCTCGAGCATGGCGCCCGCCTCGTACGACATGTTGCCGATCTTGTAGCACCAGGTGGCGGGGTGGTTGACGTAGCGGCGGAGGAGACCAGGGATGGGAGGCGTCGAGAGGAACTTCACCTTGTCGCAGCCGTTGTAGCGGCCCGTTAGGCAGGGCTCGCATTGGTTGCAGATGATGTTGGGTTCGACGGCTACGCGGTCGCCGACTTTGAAGTCTGTGACGGAGGGGTGCACGGCGATGATTTCGCCGGCGGATTCGTGGCCGAGGATGTGGTCGCCTTCGACGATCATGGGGCCGATACAGCCCGCGTGCCAGAAGTGGACATCGGATCTAGATGAAGGTGTTAGTATTCGTTTGATATGGGCTCATAACGAGTTCTGAAAGCTTGTGTGGCTTTCTTCTTCTCTTGGGCGGGGAGGTGGTGAGGCCCCATGTGATGCAATAACATGGCTATAGGAAATATGCATCATGGATGCCCAACCCTGCCAACCAAACCTCCGATTACACAAAGCTCCACGGAAACTAACTCCAATTATCGAAAAGAAAACAAAACCGATAAAAAAAAAAAAGAAAAAAGTAAATGCCAAAGGGATAAGATTTTTGGATCGGTAATCACTATTCTTACCCGCAAATACCGGTGCTCCTAATAGCTACCGTAACCTCTCCCTCCTTGAGGTCCGCGCCGGACTGGACGCTCTCGAGAGAAGGCTCAGCTTCATTTATCCACAGATCGTGGGCGGGGTTCGTGTAGACACCAATGTTGGGCTTGGTGACGTTAGCGGACGCCTTTGAGACGCCATTCTCGCCGTTGTCCACAGCTACTGGGCTCATGGTTCGAGATTTGGGGGTTCTGATGGGAGGAGTTCGGTTCAGTCTCGAGCTCGGTTTGTCTCCGTCCGATGTGGTGGTCGGTGTGAGATTGGACGATAGCAATAGCTTCAAACGATCTATGAATGGGATTGAAGATGAGAAATTATGATGTGATATCAGGAAAACAGAAAAGAGACGAGAGAAAGGAAGAAGGGAAAGTCGGGATGCCCAAGCCAAGTCTAGATATGTAGTATGAAGTGCGTCACAACAAGTCGATCACAGCGGGACAGCCTACGGCACTTCTTATTATTTATGAACGTCGTTCCTATATATATGGAATTCCGACCAAGCTCCGCTCTGCAAACAGGACCAGAGGAGTATGTGTAACCGCTTGGGATCCGGGGTCTCACAACCCGCCCATTCAGAGACTGCGAAAGGAGGGCCTGTGTTTTGCGCTGCCCCTCATCCCTTCTTTTTTTTTCTTCCCTTTCGCCAATTATCGATAATGCTTTCCGCGGGAAGCTCTCATTTGATGAGACAACTTTTTTTTTTTGCCCCTCCAATACCCGCCCAGCTTTTGCTTGTCCGAGTCTCCTTTCCTCGGTCCTCCCTTGAAAACGTCAATCTTTCACTTGCTGCTGGTTAAGTTGGCTCATCTTTTAACTGTTCTGGGAGGAACAGTGGGGCGGCACCCCAACTTGGTGGAGGGGCTTTTATTATCTGTCTCCGCGTTGACAAGGTTAGGGTCGCAGCTCTTCCCGCGCCAATCACGGTGATGGGATGAGGTTGAGTTTTCTCTAAAGGGAACTTTTAGTGGCGACAAGTGGGGGTGAGATGGAGTCGAGCTGGAGGACAGGAAGAAGAGAAATAATGAAAACCGACCACGCGGAAACTAGGAAACGAGTAGCGACACCTGTACGGAAGTACGAGAGAGGTAGTGGCACAGCTCCATGATGATCAAAAACATCGCATGCCATGGTGGAGGATCAACTGAAAGTTGAGGTTTCGTTTCAGCCTACAAATTGGGCTGACGTCTTCCGCTGTGAGAGGGCGCAAGGGACGGGTGGCCAAGATTTCCAAATGATATATACATTAAAGGCAATCTAGAAAAACCCTCGTAGCGGCAGTAAGCTTCGACGAGCAAGCGCGGGCTCTTTGTGATGTGATCCCGTTCGCAACAGCATCCGCCCATATCGTGGACGTAGTGTACTTCACACGCTCGTTGAGCCAGTAGATCTGGAAGGCGGGGAGACGGGTGACGTGCCTGCGGTCGCTAGTGTCAATGTCTGTTAAACCCGGAATACAACATAGAAAAATATCGGCAGGAGATGGACAAGTACGCTTCCCTTGTCGTGTCCACCAATAACGCTCCCACCTCCATCTCTGCATTGCACTAGCGTCGTCAAACAAAAGCCCGAGAAAACCTCCAACCTTCCATACTTTCCGGCATGCGGTCGAATCATCGTTTGAGGTTTTGCCGTTGGAATCTAGGACGAGTTGGGAACGGCTCGGGTTAAGGACGGGACCCTAGTGAGATTTTGTCAATAATTGGGACGCTTCGGGGTGTCAGTGGAAGCCGCTGGTTTTGCATTGCATGAAGTGGCACGACGACGTGGCCTGGCCGAGGTTGGTTGCCTTTTCCTATTGCGCGAGGATGGTCTGCACGAGGATTGGTCAGGCGACCCGAGAGGGCTGTATCCGTGGATGTGGGACTTGGATAGACTAATGCGAGGTTTGAGCCCCCAAGCAGCCAGGCATCTCAGGGCACTCAGGGGTAGAGATGAAAAGAAGACATCAAAAAAGCTAATCGAGAATAAATGTGTTGTGTTCTCTCTGATCTATAATTAAGGTCTCGCCGCATTGCGGCGAGCTCAATGCTCACCCTCGTAGTGTACATTAAAACACGATGAAGGGAGGAGGAGGCTTGAGTCATCATTCGCTCCACACTCCTTATCTTCCCCGTGCGAACATTCCCCAGAATCCTCTGCCCCTTCCATTGCCCCTTCCATTGCCCCTTCCATTGCCCCTTCCATTGTCCCTTCCCTTCCCTTCCCCAGACTTCTTGTCTCCTTCCCCAGAATACAAACCTTGGGGGTTCTTGCTAAGTTGTCCCTTCACATTTGATGGGCCCCAAAAAATAAAATGGCAAGAGCAATGCAGAATCGCACTAGAAAATGACCCCACAACGCAGGTGCGTTGCAAACAGATGTTTCCCGCGGAAGGAACATGTCTTCCAAGTGGGAGGTTCGAAGCCGATTCTTATGCTGCAGGCGCGAGCTACCTCTTGACACCTCACAAGGTCGACCCAGCCCGTTAATCCGGTACAGGCAAGGTTCCTGTCACCGCGAGCCAAGCACCCGTCAACACGAACCTACGATGCTATCCTGATCGAAAGGAGGTTGGATTTCTAGCATCTCGACCGCGGTTGCGTGGATTTGGCGTATTCGTTTGGGTCCACGGGTTTGACACGCCCCTCCGCAGACAAATACGCCATGTCCTATATCACACGGAGACTGGGAGAGACCGCCGCCATCTATGGCGTCTTCAAAACTTGCTGTTGATTTTCGGCCGCCCTTCGCATTGTGGAAATGTGGGAAATGTGATTGTGGCTTGGTCTCTGAATCGATGGCGTGTTTGGTGGAAGTCTCTACCCCATGCTCACGACAACGTCGCCTTTGCACACGCCGTAAGGACAGCATATTTCGGCACCTATTTGACCACTGAGGATCTGGTCTACTAGCTTCTGGAGTGGGGGAACAAGACGAGTCCTATTAGATTCTGTTGACAGAAGGGGGGGCTGTGGGGATGCGATCGAGTGGTCGCTTGGGTTATCGAGCTCGCTTACATCTGGGCAGGGAAGTCCAACCGGTTTCGCTGCGGCGGGACTGGAGAGCCAGAGAGCAGCGACAACGGAGGTGAAGAGAGAGTCGATCTTCATGGTGCTCTAATCGAGATGGGGTTCCAAAGATTGTCTCGAGACCGGCGGTTCGTATCGGATGATGTGAATGACAAAGACCAAAGACTGGGACACAACGCTTTTTGCTGGGCTCGATTTTCAGACGTGACTCGGCGGAGAAGGGGGGTTAAGATCGCGCGGAGTTTGGAACACAAGACTGGAAAGGAATGTAGGTGGAGCGACGGATCGAGTTGGGTCGAATCGGGACCGGCTGTAAGAATAGGATGGTTGGGACAACAAGCGGCTAAGATATACAGCCTTTGAATGGAAGAAGAATAAAGGAAGAATCTGTCAAAGGAATGAAGAGAATGTCAAGAATGGTGGTCACGTCTGTGATTCTATGATTCTATGGAGTCTGCCTGGGGGGAATGGAGAGGGGGTGAGCAATGTGCTGTTACTTATACGAGAGAAGATGCATGTCGGGTAAAGCATCTAGTAGTTCCCCCATCTGTTTGAACCAGTCCGAGACAACCAGGTGCCTTCGCATGTGGCCTTCCCCCCAATCGCCTCTTTTCCCCTCTGTCACTTTCAGCATTTGATCCTTTGTATCTTTTACGGGACAGATGCCGTATAAAGCCAGGTACCAGCGAAACCTAGGCCCGGAAGAAAAGCAAACAGGTTGTGTGCCTTGGCTTCTGATTGGAAGTCATGTTGGCTGTTTCCCGGTAGCCCGGCACCGAAATCGAGGATCAGTCAAAGTGTGGGGACAAGCGGTCTTTTTGAGCTGATCTTTGGTGCCATCTTGGCCCTCGGGTTGCATCATGGGTGTTTGTCCTGCTCCTCCGTCTGATTCTGATACACCCGGAGGCATTTCAAGGATCAGTTTCACGTACCGCTTAGATTGCCGTTTCTGCCAAATTGAGGGGAGATGGGATTTCAACTGATCCTAATTCACCAACAGTTCCCTCTCGATTAATATGTCTCTACAAAGCATGCACGGCACATCTGACAACGCAGCGCCACCGTGTCCCTCTCCTGCTTCGTATCCAGCACTAGGCCGCCTATGACATCCTTCGTAAAATCCAGAGGATCCATGTCTGAACCACGCTCAGCTCCAGTGGGTTAGCGATTGGCCACGGATGTCACCAGCCTAGATCTAGACCCAGTGGCGGACTGCGGGTAGTTCGGCCAAGACCGCCGGGTTGGGGCTGGCAATAGTGTACTTCTCGACAAGCTAAAAGGCTCGAAAACATTGGTGTTTGAGAGGGCAATGCTCCCCGGCTGAGGGAGATCACTGGGGCTGTGAGCCTGTTCGGAAGATTGAACCGAGACGGGAAGCCTGGTCAAAGCACAGAGGCCAATTTACCCATCCTTTATTGTTTGGAGTACGAAGTACATAATAAACTGCATTTTCCTGGTACTAGAGGGAGCTGGGAGCCTGGCTTATTTCCCGACATCATTCGGTGCCTGCAGATGTTTGGCGCGATATTTCGCCGAACGGAGTCTCGCTGTCTCAGATTTTCATGACCCGGCATCCTCACCAGCTGGGAATAACCGAACCTTTTCTCTGGATGAGAGATAGCCTGCATATTGCCAAGTAACTAACTCACTCAAGATCGATTTCTCGTGTTGTGTAGAATGTAGAATGTATACGAAGTATATTTATGGAGCGGGCCCTCCAGAGGGCGAATAGACGGAAGGGAAAATGTCTGGGAAGAAACAAAGACGGGGATGGAGTAGAAATTATCAGATGAATTTGGCCCTTGACTCCTCTTCGTACCTCGTCTTGGATCTGCAGTTGGTGCCCTTAACTCCGTCTTGCCCAGTGTTGCGAAAACCTGAGCTGAATGGAGTCTGGAGATATTGTGGGAGAACCCAACTTCAACAAAACAGCTCATTGTTGCAATTGAAGTATTACTGATGGTTCTGTAGTAATCCACTTGATTGGTGTTTCAATTGTTGTCTTCGTCGTTCGAAGCATCGTGAGCCCGAGCAGTAAGACATCAATCGAATTGGAATGCTAGTTTACGTCAAATTGGCGCATGCCGAGGCTCAAGCCTAGGCCTACAGTCTGTCAAAGGTCTCCGAGATATGCTCTCAATGGGTCCAGAAGCCCCATTTTATTGTCTTTTTCTTCTTGTTCCTATGTCTTTCTGAGGGCTTCGCTGGGCTTTGCTTAGCTTTGCTTAGCTTTGCTGGGCCTTCTTCGACAAATTGAAACCCATCAAATCCTCTGACCTCGGTCTGGATCACAGAGTGGGTCCGAGAGAGCTCTCAAGGCAATTGATCTCGCAGACACGCTCTAAAACGTCCAGTAGATCATCCCACCTTGCCCTCCCAGGAGTAAACTATTAAAATGGACGTGTTGAGCCTACCTGATGCACGAAGGGTATGAACCTCGATATCCAAAACTCGGGGAAGAAAACCTGGCAACGGGACACTTCCAAGCGTTAAACCAGATGATCCGAGGAGTCAAGCCCAGCCGAAGGCGCTCAGAAACAAATGCCCATCATTCCGGAGCCCCCCGGGCGAAACATCAATGATCCGCTCAATGTTGACTCCCACTTCACACTGCTTCACGCTGATCAATATTCTCCTGGACGAAGCAGAACCTCGGAATTCTTGCTTTGTTTTTCAATCACATAATTTAAACCGAGACATCGTCTTTCGGAGAACTTCCAACATATCGATTTGATGGCATTGGTATGTAAACCATTGTGAGGTTTCGGTTTCATCAATATCAATACCTAAGCCACCGCCTCATCGACACCCTTCTCAAAACCCTCATGCCCGAATCACCACGGAACGAATGGAATTAGGTGAATAATAAATAAAAATAAACGAAAGTGACGAGGATCAAGGAAACGTCCCAAAACTCCAGGCTTTTGTGAATTCCCATTCAGAAAAGAGGAGCGATTTCTCAGCCATGATGCATTTGCTCGCTCTGTTAGACTACTAGCCTTCCCCTCCCATCTCTCTCTTCTCTCTTTCCCACCTCTTCCTCTACACCCTAAAAAGTCGTTTCATCTTGTCGATTGATATACACAGGTAAATAAAGGTCGGGCTGACTCAAAAGAGTCGTGCAGGGTATGACAAAATAAAAAAAAGTATACACCCCAAGAGTTCCGTCAAGAAGCGAGCCCCTTACTTCCTAAGCTTCTCTCGGTTCCATTTTCCAAGAATAGTTATATATATTAGAGACCCGTGGAGCCGCGTCTCGTGTGATGTTGTGGTGTTGTGTGTGTAAGGTAGCAAGAAGCCATAGTTGTTACTAATTAGTAGAACTGGCTCTTTTGGAAATCTTCGGCCGTCAACAGCGGTCCTTGCTTGACAGTGGTCAGGGGCCGCGAGATGCCCACTGGGGTGGGAGGCGACTGGATGGAAGATACCGTCTCTCCCGAGCTAGTAAGGGAGTTGGTTCGGCTGCTGTCGCTAGCGGGGGTGGCCTTGATGGCCGCTACTGGCTTAGGCGCCTTAATCTCTCCGGGCCTCCTGACTACCTCGAGGTACGTCGACGGAAGGTATCCCATGCGCGCGTCTCGGGTTCGGCACCTCCACCACTCGCTCGGGGCGCCGAAGGGATCCGTCTTGGCGAGAACCGCTACAAGATCGCCCTTCCTAACCTCAAGATCAACTCCGTTGGCTGCACCAGCTTGGGATTGGGGCATGTAGTCGTAAAGGACGCGGCAGTACTCGAGCTGTGAGGGATCTATCCTCATCTGATCGGTAGCAGCAAGCCGCTTGCGCTCCTCCTCCTCTCGAGAGGCGGCTAGTGTCCGGATAAGCTTGCTCATTAGGTAGGGAAGGCCAAAAGCAGCCACGATGAAGAACAAAAGCGGCTTGCGGCTGGCCTTAGGGGGACCGGCGGGAGATCCGTTGGGCCCAAGAGTTCGTCCCTCGAATTTGGCAAAGGCTGCGGGCGTAAGGGATACGGCGTCGGCTGGGGGTGGACGGCCGGTTAGTTTGGCAAATAATGTCCTGACCCATCGCACAATCGCGAAAATTCCTAGTATGGAGCCAAGGGTTTCGCGGAGGTTCCCAAACTGTTCGGCAACAGAGATCATTGCTACAGAGCGACTCGGAAGTTAGCTATCATTCTATTGAAATGGGAGCCGTCATCGAAAGGGGTAGCTCGGAAATATAGGGCTAAGGGTAACGCGGTATCACGAGACTTACCATAGAAGCTTGAATGGGTCGCCATATATGTGCTCTCCAACATCTGAGCAAAGCCGCCAAAAGCACCGACGATCCCCTCGAGCATCTGGAAAGTGGCAGCTGTACTCTGGTTGAAGCTATGCGTCAGGCTGTTGGGGTCGTTGGGATTCCCCGGCATGCCGCCGTACATTCCACCACCGTACATGCCACCGCCATAGCCTCCATAACCACCGTACATTCCGCCGCCATACATACTACCGCCGTAGCCTCCCATTCGTGAATACGGACTCGCGTAGGGCGATTGGTAGGCCGAACCGTAACCGCTGTAGGGGGTGGCACCGACCCCTACGCGACTGTATGCCGCTGCATTCTGGTTTACCGCCGAGGCTAAGGATGATGGCCGTTCAGGAAGATCGGGGGGCATGGAGGTAGAGGTTGAGGCGGTTGTCATAGGGGGTGCGGACATGGAGGGATCGGTAGATGGCACTGAGGCTAGAAAGAAAGAGTGGTATTAGCTTCTCACTCTGACATGAACATCGAAAACAGAGATGTTTTGAAATCCCTAGATGGATCCATGTGTGGGCGCGATACTCACCGAGGGGTGTCGCGGCGCCAGACATCTCCCAAGGTTTCGGCGGCGACGCCATTATGGCTCAAAATATATTCCCGCCCTCTCTCTTCAACTGCCGAAGGCGAGGCTATCGCCCAAAATAAAAGAGAAAAGAAAATCCGATTCAAATATCGAGCCGCAGGATGCTCGCGTCGTCGAGCAACGAGGCCCCTTTCGGGCAGCGGCTAGTGCCAAAGGAACGTTGTTTTGCTATTCGCCGGACACGAGGGGCAAATTCGATTCGCAGGAAGAACAGATCGGTTTGTCGCGAGGAAGCAAGGCAAAGAAAGAAATTAGATACCAACCGTCGTGTAGAGCCGTGAAATCGTGTATTCGGATTGAAGGTCGGATTGAAGGGGAGGGAAACGGCAGCGAGGTAAATGGGCGGACTTAGGTCCGGGGAGGTAATTGATGGAAGCGAGGTCCAGATGCAGATGACTCTCGGGAGGACAGTGTCTGTGGTTGGATGTCAATAAGTTCCTTCAGGTTCTGCCTCGGTATTATTTTTCGGGCCTGTCGTGGTTGCTGGCTTGGTCAGCAGGCCTGGCAACTAAAGTACAGAAGTACTGCACTGGCCGGAGAGCCCTGACCGGATGATAAATTATTCGACCATTAACGAAAGGGGGGGAGAAAGAAAGGGGAACGAGAAATAAAAAAAAAAAAAAAAAAAGCAGCTGATTCGATTGATTGAAATTGAATGGAAATGAGAAAGCAAAGAGTTTAGCTGCCCAAGGCCGCCGAGAAATTTCAACAATATATCGACAGGGTCTCCAATCGTGTGATGAAAGAAAGAAAAATTGATCACGACAGTGCGCCGCCCGTGAAATCGAACTCGGCTTGCCAAGTGCCTTCCTTCTTTCTTTCGCCCGACTCCACCGTTAATCCGGGGTACAACACCAATGGTGTGTTGGAGAAGCAAGAGTGGAGTAAACATGTACACAAGTAACTCCTCGAGCCGCGGCGACGATTCTCGGCTTTCAGGGAAGGGGGGGTGGCGAACAAAGAAAAGCAGCGGCTTCAAATGTCCATCCGTACCCACACCCTCCTCTTCCGTCACCTGTCTTCCCCGCCATCCGCCAAAGGATGAAAATTCCACCGGACCGACCTTCCATGCCAAACTTCTCCGTGCCCTCCTCGATTTTCACATGCTTGGCTTGAGCTTAGCGTATCTCCGTCAATGTGAGATTACGCTAGTTTTTTCCCCCAGACGTGGGTTTCACGAGTGACCACCATGACGATGGATTAGGAAGTAGTGTAGTGTAAACTACGAAGGTATGGCTGGTCCATCTTGCTATTCGGTCACAGACAAATGCAGCATCGAATTCTCTCAAAGTATTGTTGAGGTTGAGGGTTAGCCGTTTTCAACTGCCACTCTAGCTGCAGCAAATTCTGCATTGCATGTTGAACATCAACCCCGCTGTGGCCTGGAACTGGACCACGGACAAAGTAGGGACCGAGTACAGCTGGGAGTACATAGCATGTGCCAAACCGGCGGTCAGATTGGCTGGCTGGGCACTGACACTTGCATCATCCGCGAGGTCTCTCTCTCAAGCTCAGAGAAAACCGGTGTGCTCAGATTGATATATCCGTATAAAGCTTGGCGTAAATTATACAGAGACGTCACGATATATTCATCTATCTATGTATACATAATACTTAAGTTGCGGTCTTCTTTCCACGGCGTAGAGCACCTCCCCGAACTCTCTTCGACGGGACAGGTTCATCATCATCACTCTCCTCACCATCCTCAACACCACCCAAGTCCCCCTGGAACTCGTCATCCGACCCATCTACAACCGTCGCCCGCTGCCGCTTCCGCGATTGCTTTCCCCGCGCTTTATTCGTAGTTGTGGAATCGCCAGCAGGCCCGCCCGCGCCCTCCTGCTGTGTCTCCGACCTCATCGTCTGCTCCAACGTCTTCTGCTTCAGCTTGCTAACCGCCTCCGTCATTCTTTTACTCGCCGAGGCTCTCTGCCTCGGCGCAAACGCCTCCAACCGCCCGGCACCGACACCACCACCGAAAAACCGCGTAATATTCGCCTGCGTACCTTCCATCTCCCGCTTGTTCATGTCCTTGACAACCGGAAGCAGCACCTCGTCCGTCCGCTCTTTGCCCCATCCGATCGTCGACATGAGGAATTGCCTCAGCCCCTCGACGTCCGGTACTCCCCACTGGAATGCCTCGGTGCTGTCGTCGACTTCCGGCTTAAGGTAGGCCTCGGTCACGGCGGGGCTCGGGAATCCTGGAGGGAGGAAGAGCTTCGTGGCTTGCGACTTGCGGAATTTTCTGCGGAACGGCGAGGTCGCATCCGCTTCCTTGGGTCTGCTATGGTGCTGGACGTCGTCCCACCACTCTTTAAAATTCTTCAGTCCGTCGGGGCCGGGGAATTCGGAGATGATTTCGACCGCCGTAACGGGTCCTACGCCCGGCAGACCCTCAGCGTAATCTGAGCCGAGGAGCTGTGCTAACGCGGCGAGCTGTTCTCGCGAGAGGGACATTTCCTTCTCGAGGTCGGATGCCAGGTAGCATTCGACGAACTTGTTGCTGCTAAACATGTTCTTGTAGACCCTGGTGCCACCAAAGAGGAATATATCGGAGTCGTCGGTGACGATGCCGTCCACTAAGCCCAAATGGACCAGCTCTGCGCATTGCGCTTCGGCTTCCATGGGCGCAGTGATGTAAGGAATGCCAAAAAGCCCAAGGAGAGTCTGGCACTCCGCCACCATAGTGTCGTTGACTTCATCTGCGTCTCGCCTCTCCTTCTTCTGTTGGGTCCGCAGCTGCCGCAGTTCATTTTCGTAATCTCGTAGATTTTCTTGCGTAGTCTTGTTGTTCAACTCGCTGGCGAATCGAGCATGTTCTTGTGCCTCTTCTTCCATCTGGGCCATGAGCTCCGCCTCTTCCATGTCACTAAACTCTTCCTCGGCATCATCGTCATTATCGTTAAATAGGAAATCGTCGTGTTCCTTACTAGGCTCTTCGGCTATCGTGTCAGGTGGACGTACTTCTGCATCGGTCGTCAATGCAGGCTCTTGAGCTTGAATCCCGACATCCTCGAATGTTGGTTCTGGCGATTCAGCACCACTCGCTTCAGCACTGGGTTTTGGAACCACAGCAGTGGTTGTCGTGCTAACGGGTAACCCTACGTCTTCGAACTCCAGCTCAACAGACTCGGAGACTTCGCGAATTGTCACTTCCATGTCTTCACCCGTAATCGCTCCGGACATGGTGAGCCCTAATGCCGGATCGATTGGAATATCTTGTTCTGGTGATAACGGGCGGTCGATGATTTCGATATCATCCGATTCACCATCTGAAGACGAAATCTCGATCATAGCATCCTGCCGTTGCCACGCCCAATCCCGCTGGACCTCAACAACGGTGTCCCTATCCGCCGCATTCATCTCCGCCTCCAGAGCCTGAGCCTGTTTTAACGAGTCCCTGATGTCACTGTCATTAACAAGCCAGGGTGGTAAGGGTTTAGGTGCTTTATTGTCGCGCGGCTCCCTTTCGAACCCACCAGCCAGATCATCAAAATCGCCGTCTTCTTCACCAACAGGCTCTAGAATCCGCTCGGCGGGTTTAGGTACAGCCTCAGTGATCCGCTTCGTAAATAGTGCGGGAGTCCAGTCCAACTTAGGGAACGGCAGCGGCCCGCCAAAGGGATTCGGGATATTTGGCATTGAAGCCTCAGGTTGGGCCCTCTTTGACCTGTTAGCTTTGGCCAAAGTTTTCTGTAGGTCGACACTACTGTCGCTGTCGCTCTCGTCATCCTGCCTCGTATCAACGGCACGCTGCTTAGAAACACTGGCATTTGCTCGATTGTTGACGATATGTGCGACCATTCGCCCGCTCGATGATATTATCGGTTTCGGCGCCGTCTCGGCAGCTCTCTGCTTCCACACTGGGGGACCCGACTTTTCCACATCTTCAAATAGATCATCTTCTGGTGATGGCGTTGGCTCATTCCCCACACCATGCTGGCTCCGTAGTGAGAGCGCAATAGCCCTGTTGATATCATCTTCCTCTTCAGGATGCAGCCGGGATTCCGCACCCTCGTTGACCTCCGGCTCCTCCGTATCATGCCCGACGAACAAACTATCAGGGTCCTCATCCAAGTTCCCAACTCGGCCCAATAGCTCTTGACCCCGGCCCACGGGCGGCAGCCTATTCAAGCCGGGGATAGGTATATCCTCAAAGTCATCATCTTCTTCGTCCTCGTCCTCGGCTTTCGCTTGGTACTCGAACTGGATGGCATCCACATCAATGGGCTTATGGCGCTCCCCTAGGTCTTTCTCCTTGCTCACAACACCCAGGGCCCAGCCGCCCTCGGCGCCTTCGTTTTTCACGAGAATATATTCTCGATCTTTCTCGCCTGCGACGCGGGCGTTCACGTTGAGAGTGAGATCAAGTCCAGTCATCCCCGCTTCACGCATGAGACGCTGTGTGAGCATGTTTCGTTCCCTAACTCGTTCAATCTGAAACTTTGAGAACGCCATGCGATCGGGAAACATATCCTCAAGCTGCTCCTTGCTCAAGCCCATCCTCAGGCGACTCCTTAATCTTGCTGCATTGAGAATATTGTACCTGTCCGCAGACGGAAGGCTTTTGAAAAAGTCTCCATCGAAATCGATCTTGCTGAAATCGTAGAGGTTAATGTCCTCACCCGAGTTGAACTGGCGTGCGTACTCCTCGAGCTCCTCAATGCTCATGATACGAGGATCCTCGGGCCGAGCCATCTCCGCAATACTTCCATCTAAGTCGGGAAGATGATACGGATCCTGCTTGTGGAACTTGCGATTCCTCATCCTCTCCTGTTTAGACATTCCTATCTCCTGTACATAAACAACATCGTTCATGTCTGGAAGCGGTTCCTCCTCATCGTCGACCGTTCCCTTTGCGGCCTCCCTCTTCCGACGGTCCACCTCCTCTTCAGCAATCCGATGCATCTGCACCGCCAACAACTTCCCCGCCGTCCTCGCCGCATCCTCGCGCCTCCCCTCCCTCCGTCTCTTCCTCCCAATGATCGTCTGCCTCTTCAGCGCCGGCGCACCGCCATCGAACACGAAGACGGGCAGAATACCAAACCACAACAGCTTGCATATGCGGCGGAAGAACCCGACGACGTGGGAGTTGCGCAGGGCATTTCCCTCCTTGTCGCGCACGGCCTTGAGGAACTGGTAGATCCAGATGGAGGCGTCGACGGCGAGGCGCTTGCGGTTGAGGGTGGCGAGGTTGGTGGGGCGGGCGCAGGGCTGGACGACTTGCCAGAGGCCGTTTACACCCATTTCGTGATGGGTTTGGAGGATGCGCTACCGTGACCTGACGCGATGGGGATAAAGGTAGTGTGTGAATGCAAATGTGTAAGAGTTAGGATGAAGGCTGGTTGAAATGGCTGCCCAGGCCGATTTCAGGTCTCTTGGAGCAAATGGCGCATCGTCTCATGCGTCACCGAGGCTTCCCGAGCAATACGAAGGGTGATAAACTATGGTAAGACTCTGGGGATGAAAGGTGTAGTTTCGGCGTCGGTGGGATGGAAGTCGCAATGTTGGGGAAAGTCACGACTCGGACTTGGAAGCTTCGCAGTTCAACCGTAAAAAACCCTAGGTGCTGCCTAAAAATAGCCCAGCCTACCCGGATTGTTCATCGCGGGCTGACGCACTATAGAACAGTGGAGGCGACACAGTATAGGGCCTGTTGCTGCTAGCTGCGCTGACAGCTTTTGCTTACGACACAAGACGGCGGTGGCGAAATGACAGCGGCCACCATCAACCCATCGATTATCAGCGATTCCCCAAGTCCACTTCATGATGCTATGCAACCGTAATACGAACTACGTTTATCCCTCTTCTTAGTGGTATGTTTCACGTCCTCGGGGATAGATTCGAGAGTTAACAAACTTTTTTGAATAATCACACACTACCGAGGGAAATGAGAACACAAAAAGGATCGTCTTCCAAGTTGAGGTAAGAGCGCGTTACCAGAACGAACTCGATATCCAGCAACAAAACGAGTGAATAGCGGCCAAGTGAAATGAGCAGAGCAAGCTAGGAAGAAAAAAACCAAAAAGAAGAAGAAAAACGCTCGGAAACTGGCACTGGAATCCTACCAGGAAGTATTCACACCCGGACTATCGAAATCGGTATATCCCGGTTGGTCAATAAGGACATTGTTCCAGATGAGATCTCCTAGGTCACAGTGGAGTATATCCTCAAGATATTCTCCTGAACTCTCAGGAGTGGGTTCCGGTGGCGGCTGCGGAGGATCGCGATAGATGCGATCTGGCGTCCTGCATGGTGATCTTGACCTCGCTCGCAAGTCGCTTGTGTCTTTGTCCTCTTTGTTCCCTGCATAGGACTGGATAAGGCGACGCGCGCACTTTATGACAAGGTCTGTAGCTACGCGCTTCATATCGTCTTGGACATAATCGAGCTTCCGTTCAAGCTCCTCTTCTATCTCGCGTCGTATCAGAGGGGGTATCTCCTTACGGAGATACTGTTCTATGCCGATAATGGATGGCTGCTCCTCGTAATCTGGCCTAGACGTTAGTAGGTTTCCTACCGAGACTGTTGGGTCAACTTACAGGGTGTAGGTAGGTCTAGAGCATCGGGGAAGATTATTTTGTAAATCTCATTCCACCTCTCCGCCTCGCTTCCCTTCTCCTTACCAGGACGAGCACGAAGAGCTCTCTCTTGGGCTTCATTGATACCATACAATGGCATGACGTCGACCTTCTCGCATCTCACATCATCTCGAAGATGGGCGTCGAATGCCTTATCACTTGCGAAGTCCTTTCTGCACCTTGGGCAGATGTGTTTTGAGATCTTATGAACGCGGTAGAGATGCTCCCTGTAGAGATATTAGCGAAGACTGGCCCTAGCGTCCGACTCTAGAGCGTACTCACTTCAATCGATGAATGGAAGGGAATCCAGGATGAACGCATGCCGTTGACTTGGTGCACCTGGAAGGGTCATGCTTATAAAAGGGGCATGCGAGTTTTCGCTCTCCGTCCCCACCATCCTTCCGCGCTCGCTTTGGGGCTTTCCCCCCACGCCGTCCATCGCCTCCGGCACCACTGCCGTCCGGAGATTCATCTCTCTGCTGGCGCTTGTTCGATTTCCTGCCGCCTTGATTCTCCTTGTCTTCATCGGGATCATCGCGGTGTCCGCTATTGCAGCCACCGCCGCTCCCCTTGCCTCTCCCGCCAGTAGAACCCCTAGAGCGATTGGCGCCATCGCCTTCTTGAAGTGGAATAGTTCTGTCAAGCCATTCCATTATAATGGCCATGACATTATCGACGATCTGAGCCTTTCGCCTCTCCAAGGCAGACTGGCTTGGATTATCGGATTCCAAAGGAGAGGCCGATCTAATAGCGACACGTCTACCCCATTCAGTTAGATTCAGATCTTTCAATGGAAAAAGGAAGAAGAAAAGGCGAGATACGAACTCCGATCTAATTCTCCCTTCTTCAACCCCGGTACCTCCTTGTCCTGCCGAAACGACCGAGGGAGTCTAGCAGAATCCATATTAGTGAACGATTCTTTTAGATGCTTAACGGGATTTTCCGACTTACATCTTGAGCGACGCGACGGGAACTCGAAGTCGACTGGCCTGCGGTTCTTACAATGTCGGACTTCCCATTACTTTTCCCACTTTTCATGCTGTTTGCAGTCAACCGCGACAGATATCCCTTGGGAATTAGTTTCGGCCTCAGCTGCTGAGCCTTGAAATACGAGGCTGGGTCCCCCGACGAAAATACCAGATATGGTAATCTAGCAGCACAATGGATATCGCCGACAAAGGTGCTGTGTATAGGGACAAGAAGCTCTGGTATTTGTGGGTATAGCAACATGCTTTGAAGAGTAGCCCTCTCAGGAAATAGAAATGCTGCTCAGGTCTAGGGCACCAGCGCGAGGCGTGGATAGGAAAGCTCAGACTCTCTCAGATGAGCGCGGATATCTACACAGGTATTTATAGAAAGCTTAACATGAAATACGGATGGCCCTCTGGAGAACTGAACGCTCAAATGCGCACAAGTCGAACTTGAGCAGAGACGAAGGGACGAAAGGGTTGCGTGAAGGCGGCCCATCCTTCCAAGCAATTCTCCAATCATCCTCCCGAGCCCTCCGAGTGTTTGGAGGCGTGGCTGATGACGAAACCAAAGCAAGTCCCATTGAGGCTTCGGTTAGCGAATATCATGCGGGGACCGTCCGATTTGGTACAAGTCTTTCCATGCGAGGAATCTCTCCGCGGGATGTGATGGATGCATGCAATATGACTGACTTAGTGTAGCCTTGTGGGGATTCAAGTGAAGGCCGGGGCAATATGGCCCGATAGGACAATCGCGTCTCTTACATGCTACTGAATATAACTCGCTCGAGGGCGAGGAGGACCTGGACAAGGAAACCGTGAGTTAACTTGCCAACAGTGCCCGCAGTAGTAGGTAGGCATTGATCGACAATGGGAGCAATCCGGAGATGTCAAGATGGCCAGTTTCCTGCTGCCATGATCCAATCCACAGAAGCCAATGAAGGCATCATATGCCGCTGCATGGTGAGCACAAGGTAGGACCCAGGCCGCTCCTGTCGATGGGGGTGTGGCTCTGGTCACACGAAGTGTAGTAGAAGACCTCGACGTCTCCTATGATAAGTCCAAAGAAGGCACTAGTCTTCCGGCATGCATATACTGGCTCTATAATCAGAGATATCCATTACTATTTCGGTCGAGGAGGGGTGTGGTTGGCGAGAAGTCTCAGAGGTGCCCTCAGCAGACCACCTGCATGCATCCAACCCCGGCCGCAACACCGGTAGCCAGCCGGAGGGTCGCGAACCAACCTGGGCCATAAATGTGCTTCGGGAGATAAGGCGGACTCTGCAGAAATCCCATCGTGATGACGAATCGCGTTCTGAGCAAGCGAACCCGGAGAATCACGGCATGGATGGAAGAGGAGGGATGCCGTCGGGAATACGAATATTATGAGTCAACGACGCGGCGGACAGCCACCGACGGGCCTCAATTACGCAAATGAGCAAAATGTGTCTGTCTGCTTTAATCAATTGGAAACTTTCCGAGTGCTCAAGGCGCGTTGTGGGCAGAAAGCACATCTCAAGGTTGGAGTCGAAGGTGGGTGAGACCTTCTTCGTTCTTCCCTCACCAAGACCCCACCTTGACCTTCGACATGACGTCTGGTCCAAGACAAGTTGATATTTTTGGTGGGGTGCCAGACACCACATCGGACAACTCACCCCCACACCCAATCCTTCCGTTTAGCCTGGTCGGCGCTAACCACTCTTTCACTTCTGCATCTTCCTCGACACTCTTTCTGCCCCGCAAGCAATCGTTATGGAGTCATCCCAGACTACAATAGAGATTAGGGAGAGGGAAATCCAAGAAGCGCGGGATTACCTAAGCTCTCTAATCAACAAGTATCTTCGGGTCACCTCGAAGGATGGCCGCATCTTCTGGGGCCAGTTCAAGTGCATAGATCCCGTCCGTCTCACTCGTGCTCTACATTCTTTTCTCTCCATTTTTATTCTTCTTTTAGCCAACTTTGCCGATGCGCGATGCGGGCGACTAACAGCTCTCTCCAGGATCGCAACATCATCCTCTCCCAAACCTTCGAGTACAGACAACCCTCCGCCAAGAAGCGTCTTGAAGCCGCCCAGAATGCCGGCGACGCCGAAAAGGTGACCCTGCAGATGTCGTCTCGCTTTCTCGGCCTCGTCGTGGTGCCGGGGATGCACATTGCGAAGATCGAGCTTGAGGAGTTTGCGAGCCAGCTCAAGAAGCCGTCTGCGAGGGCAGCAGAGGCGTTGCAGAAGCAGAGAGAAATACAGCAGCAGCAACGGTAGGAAAATCGCGGCTTGGGTGAGCCACTGGTCTGGCGCACTTAGCTTTCATGTGGTCATGACTGGCTGGTAGGGAAAGACTCTTTGTGGGCATCAAAGGGACGGATTGGGACGGACTATTGGTGGTCTACATATTTTGGAGTTCGGTGTCACAATCAGCCTGTATATAGCCTTCTGAAATCTTCCTAATATTCAAGATGTATGACTGTATCTGTAGCAACATTACATGGGACCTTCAAAACATGTATGAACAAACTCCAATATAATACCCAAACAGTCCCTTGAGCGGTGTAAAACCCACCCAGTCAGTCCAATTAGTTAAATTTCCCCAACGGTTTCGAATCTCGCACCGATTCGACAGGGGTAAGCAAGTTTGAACCCCTAAAGTCACCCGACTCTGATGTATTACACACCAACCCACCCATTAGTATCGCCTGAGCATGCCCACTTCATCTAATCGCATCGCATGGTCTTCGTCATGCAGCGTGTACTTCCTTGCTGCGCCCTCTAGCCTCACCATTACCGTTGACGCGGCTGCTCGACGCTACCGATTCACGATTGTCATCAGAATCTAGGTCCTCTTTATCGTGCAGCCTGTGCTCTTGTTCCTCATCTTCGTCTTCGTCCTCATCATCGGTTCTAGCAACTTCCCAAGAGTCTTGGTCGTGCATTGGGACATCCTGCCCCGAGAGATCTAGGCCTTCGCTGCGGGCTCGAATATGGTTGCGGCGACGTTGAGATAGTGTTCGGGCACGGACAGATAGTTTAGAGTGAACAGCAGCATTCGCGGTAATCCAGTTAGTGAGGGCGTCCTCGCAGTCCTGAATGATGGCTTTGCTGGCTTCGTAACCGTCATAAGCTGCTCTCGTCTCGCCCGGCGTTACCGGGGTGTCGTCGATCAGATCCAAAAGGTGTTTTCCGTAGCCGGCGATGATTGCTACTTTCTCAGAGTGTTCCCGGAGTGCATCGAACTGGTAGGAATAGGCGGCCTTGACTTTCTCGCGCGTAATGTTGGACAATTGAGCTTCGGCAACGAGCGATTCGGCCTCGGCTCGGACGAGTTCCTGTTCGAGGACGACAATCTTGGGAGAGTTGGGTTCCTTATACTTGAGCTGGGCGATTTGGTCCATGATCTTTTGCTTGCCTGGGAAGCAACTTCGTATTAGCTCCAGTTTTAGTCAACCGTTGTATCTAGGCGGGGCACTCACGGTCGCGGCACGGCTGCACCGACGCCTCGATGTTTCGGATACCCTTCATCGTCACGCGGTATTGATCATATCGGTCGACAAGTTGGTCTTCGAGCTCGCCGATCTCGTAAAGGAGAACGCCGAGCTTGTCGGTAATGTCGGAAACGTCTTCGTCGCAAGCTTCGCCCCAGTTTGAGAGTTGGTGCTATCGAGCGACGACATCTTAGCAGGTCTTCTTCTCCCAGGGGGTAGTAGGAACGGAGTCAGAGAAACATATACCGCAACTTCCATGCGCTCCTTAGCTACTTGTTCCAAGCTGCGCATGACGTTCTTTTCCATCTTGACGAGTTGAGTAAGCTTCTTCGCAAGGTCAGGCCCGAAGGCGCCTGCGGTTCTACCTCGAAGTGCATGACCTATGTATGCGTATCGCAAATGATTAGCTTGTTGGCGTCGCTGCCAGGGGGGTGTTTCTTAGTTATCGGTTGGTGAGGGGAAAGGCTTTGGTGTCGCGGAGGAGTACTCGTAATCGCTCGGATCGCACTTACTGAGCGAGGCACGGCCAAAAATTCTTCCGGACTTTGTGCTCGACGGAGGCGGAGGAGGATTCTAGACAATTGATCGCGAGTCAGTACCCGAGTCGCAATGCTCAGCGGCGACAGGAAGACACCGAGGGCTTTCGTTGGGCACAACTCGGCTTACCTGGATTTGCGACGCGGTTGGCGCCCGAGTCCTGCGCATAGAATATGTGCGATGCATTGTGAATAATGATGACGAATTCCTAAGCGATGGCGAAAGCGAGTGTATTGGGTAGACGGTTTCGGATCGCGGTTCCTTATGTTTCTGGCTTTCGTCTCTCGAGCTTCTCCTGTCTCTGGCCTGTTTTGTTCGTCTGGTTGTGGGTGATGTTCGGGCAATGTTGAGAAGTGGTTGCAGGTCTTCTTGGCGGTCCTGATGTGATTTCGGTTCCGGGATCTGTCGACCGACCTTGATCCAACGTAATTACAGCAGCAGGAACAGGAGCAGTGATAACGACGGCAGCGGGCCAAGCAATATGAGCCCAAAGTTAATGATCAAAGATGATTCTGGTATCGACACTGGGGTACATATGATATACGAAGTAGGCGGCCAAAACTGGGAGCCTGGCACGGGCGTAGGATTTAAAGACCAGAGGGCGGCATGCGCATGCTCAGGTCGAAACGACGAAAGCTGCAGGGCCAGAGGCAAAAGTGCCCAGTCCGTCTAGGTTCAGACGTCATCTCCCGGTGTACAAGGCCCGATTCTCTTCAATGTTGGGTCAATGTTAAGCCCCAAGAAGTAAGAACTTAAGAAGTACCGCTGCTATGGTCCAATTGATATCATGGACGGGCGATCCAACCACGTCGGACCACTCGGGATGCATCAACACAGGGCTCTACACTACTGGTCTTGGAAGCAATGTGATGGTGTGGTAGTCGCCGAAGTCGTAAGCCAAGTCTAGTCCATCTCAAGAGACGGGGATCTATCTATGTTTAGATCGTTGTAGTTGCTATTTCGTGTCATGGAAAAGAAAGTCTATCTTGAGCCAACATGTCTTCTTGGTCCCTTCTTCCGCTTGTACGAAGTAGTAATTGCCGGATTGCCATTCCCAGTCATGTACCCTCCACCTGGTCGTTGCAGACCGCATTTGCAATTGTGGCTCGCAGTTTCAAGTGTTTCAAGTGGTTTATATACTTAATGTGGATTGTCGAGCACTCTTTCTCAACACCAAGCACCCAACCCAATCCGAAAGGGCGAGCGCAACCATCCTTACTATCGCGACGAACATTCACTGTGATCGATGGCAGTGACATGCCGTGCCTCTCTTCCCGGAAAATACTTTGTCAACGGACGCAGTGACCAGTCTCGGTGGTTCCTTTTTGTGGTCTGGTCTCCCTTTCCTTGAGGTTTTCAATAATAGACTATAGTGGCAAAGTTACTTCCTAGCCCCAATTCGTGATGGGATGAAGTTCGTCAGAACCCAAATAATAGGGCTTTTGATGAATGTCTTGGTGTCGTCATTGTGCTTTTTTTGGTGATGAGGCGGAGCCAGCAGTTGGTTTCAGTCCCCCATCGTCCTCGGCTCTTGGTTCCGGTGGATCAGATCCTGCCTGTCCATCCAGGCTCTGCTTAGTCAGTAGTCTTACAGGGATTCCGTGTTTCGTTTGCGCACGTTTTGCGCACCTTCTGCCTGGCTCCAGAAATTCGTCGCGATGCTTGGATTCAGACGCGTCTATTGATTTCAAGGAATGTAACAATCGCGACAAAACGAGAGCGAACGCCGAGAATCGTGCTGCAAGCCTTCTTCTTACACTTCTGCCTAGGTTTGAATGTACGTGCATTGAATGTGACGACTTTCTTCCCGCCCGTGTGTACTGTCGGATTGTGAAGTGGTTGCAGGACACTCGAGTGGAAGGGGAGAATGGTCGGCCTTGTTGGTAGCAACAATTGAGGATCGAACGGTACTCTGGGTCCCGCTCTTGCCTTGTAGTATCTGTGGGTGCCTTCGATCTTGTCTTTCGTTTTATTTCTCTTTCTTATTCTTGGATACTATACCCCGGATTCTTCTTGCTATTTGTGTCCTTCCTTCGCCGTGTTTCGTTTCGCGAACCATCACCAGCGGCCGGCCCCCCCGCTCGTGGCCCTCAAAGAGCCACCCCTTGCGACTGCGTTGACATGATGCCGAATATATTTATCGACCTGACCGAGCCCATCAGCAGCCGCGCCGACCTAATCGACTTGACGAGTCCTGCTAGTGATGGTAGTGAAGCAGGCAACCATGCTCCGAACCGAAACCGAACGGTCTCGCGGCAATCTACACCGAAGGGCGCGCCCAAATGGGGGCCGAGTGCTCAATTACAACAGGCCTCTCCTCGAGCCCAAGCCCAATTATCCCAATATCCAGCATTTGCGCCGCGAGAGACTATCGTGCACGCCCCTGTTCCTTCCACAGTTAAACTCTCCGACGATGGGACCGGCCTAGGGCACGTGAAGAGTCAAAGTACCTCACCAGTGCGGTCCCGCACCCCACCACTACGCTCGATAGACACCGCCCCTTCTACAAATAACGTGAATGGCACGACTCCGAATCCTCCTCGTCCTGATGAAGGCGCAGAATCTTCCGGCATGAAATCGCGACCTAGTGCTTCGCACGCGACTCTGCCGCTTCGTTCTTCTCCCGCTGGTCCTCTCGCCACCCAGTCCACCCCCAAGGGTGTGACACCGAGGAAGACGGAATGGACCGTGGAAAAGATTGCCGAAAGGCTCAGGCACCTTACGAAGGATCTCGACTACCAGCACCGCGTGATGACCTACCGCGTGCTGCAAGCCAACAAACGTCAGGTCCAGGAAAGGAGGCAGCTTAAGGGGGATGATCTATTTGCCGACGTAAAGATTGACAGTGCCCCGGAGGAAAAGGGGCTCGCCGTACGGGCCAAGTTCAAGGTACGCAGGCGTACTCGCCAAGATGATGCTATACCTAGAAAATCATACCCGTGCGACTCTGGTTATGAACTGCTCCTAACTGTGCTGTCATGTCAAAGCTCCATACGACCAATACTAGGAAGTCGAATTCATCCTTGGGCAAGCGGAACCTAACTTTACCTGTCGTACCTTTGAGGACCGAAGTCGAACCCGTCCCGCCGTACCGATTCCACCATATCGAGATTCCCAAAAGTGTGTTAACCCCGCAGACGATGCTCAAATACGTACCGCATGTAAGGGATCTGGAAGACTCCGAGGAGCGACAATACAACCTATGGCTGCAGGAGTTGGATGAGATGGACGAGGCCTCGGGTTTCAAGCCCCAGAGTCGGGAGCAGAGGGCTGCCAACACAAAGCGCGACGAATGCGCAGCACGCCTTGCAGCCCTGCTGCCATCGTGGTTGAAGACACTCTCAATCGAAGGCTGCACCAAAGCCACCCTCATCCGATACATGGCTAGCCAGGCACGTGATGATACCATCACGCCGCAGCAAAAATCGAGTATCCTCGATACCTGCCGCCAAGTGGAAGATGTTGGGTCCCCTAGAGCTGTGCGAGCTGCCAAGCTCTTCACTGAAGCCTTCGACATGGTGTTCTCGCAGCTATACTCAAACTATCCTGTTACGCTGCGGGATGTCTTGTTCAGGGACGAATTTGTGGACCAGATTGTTGATCCTAAACGCCTCACGAAAGAATCTGCGGCTCCATCTAAACCTACCGAGGCGCCCGAGCCCGTGGACGGCGGCTATCTGGAGACGCATTCGCTACTTGCTTGCCTCATATGTTTCTGCAACTCGTGCGATCATGGAGAGTATGATAACAAGAACCAAAAACGTACATTCTCCATGGAGGTCATGGGTGGCGTGGAGGGAGCGTTGAAGCGACGACCACTCAGGCAAGGGCGGGATCGTGCGACTCAAGAGGAAAAGGTCTTGTATTCCCAACCATGTGGAGCTGAATGCTTTCGCTTGGTGGACCCGCATGCGCCGCCCCAAACCCCAAAGAGCTGGACGCCCCGAGAGGACAGAATTCTTCGAGCTCTAGTAGAGACCTCACTAGTTGGGCCAAGTTTCCGGCCTCCCGAATGCACCGTGTCCGGGTTGCTCCAACGGCCATGTTGGGAAGTTCACCTGAAACTGACCCAAGACAGCCTCGCTCCTAAAGGAGCGCTTCCACCGACTTCACCGAAACCCGTTGTCAAAAACTTGCCCTGGTACGATAGGTTTAGAAAAATGCTTATCGGCGACTGGCAAGAACATACCAAAATCTACGAGCACCAGCGTCGGGAGCTGCTTGAGCCTTGCGCCCACGACGGTCCCTGCACGTTGGCTAAGGGCTGCCCTTGCGTTGAAGCTGGGGTTCTCTGCGACAGGTTTTGTCGGTGCACGGCAGAGACCTGCGCTTACAAGTTTACGGGCTGCGCTTGTCATTCCCTGGGTAAGACGTGCTACTCCAAGCAAAAAGAGCGCCCATGTATCTGTGTCCAGCTTAATAGGGAGTGCGATCCTGTGCTGTGTAAAGGCTGTGGAGCTATGGAACGGGTCGACCCCGAGAACGTCGACGATGACGAGCTTCACGAGACAGGATGCCAAAACTGCGCGCTACAACGGGGCAGGAGTAAGCGCCTGATACTTGGCAAGAGTCTACTGGAAAACTGCGGCTACGGTCTTTTCACGGCCGAAGACATCGCCCAGGATGAGTTTGTCATTGAGTACGTCGGCGAGCTTATCACGCACGACGAGGGCGTTCGACGAGAGGCACGCCGCGGGGATGTCTTTAATGAAGGCTCGAACGCGTCTTACCTCTTTACCCTTCTCGAGGATGAAGGCATCTGGGTCGATGCGGCAGTGTACGGGAATCTCAGCCGCTACATTAACCACGCGTCGGAGAGCGACAAGCGGGCCTGTAACATTATGCCGAAGATTCTTTACGTCAACGGCGAGTACAGGATCCGTTTTACGGCTATGCGCGACATCAGCGCCGGGGAGGAGTTGTTCTTTAATTATGGAGAGAACTTCCCGAATCTCACGAAGAAGCTTCTCGAAGACCGGGCTGATCAGCAAGACGAGCCGCTAGCTGCTGCGAACAAGGCGGGCCCCTCCCTTGGCCGAAAGCCCGGAAGGCGACCGGGAAGGCCGCGGCGTGGAGGGGGCCGAAAGCCCGCGAAGCAGAATGCGACGGGTGGTGGCCGAAAGGGCGTGGCACCTGCGGATCCCGCGGTCGACTGGGAGCTTCCGGGGAGTACCGGGTTCGCTCTGCTCCAGAAGAACAAGCGGAAGAGGAGGGAAGAAGACGAAGAAAGCAGGGGAGAGCTCGATGACGACGACGAAGATAATATCTACGATGACGACTCTCAAGAAGGCTCGGATTGGGAAGCAGGTGGTAGACGAGGGGGCAGACGAGGAGGTGGTCGGCGTGGGGTAAGGACCAGGAAGAGGACGAAACGAACTCATAATAAGGGAGGCGAGAAGGACGACGAGGAGATGCTCGTCGCGATGGATTCTCCCAGCAGACCACCTCGCCGCACCGGTGCTGGCCGCCCGAAAGGGCCGACGAAGCCCCTCCGTGTCGCCGTCGAGGAGGTAGACGAATCTGATGACGCGCACATTTCGGATTCGGACGATATGGCGTTGGCCCGGCGTCGGCGGGGTCGTGGGAATCGCAAAACCGTAGTCGACGATAGCGTGGATGAGGGAGGTGATACTATTGTTCTTAAACCGAAAGTGGTGCTAGCCGAAGAGGCTGTGGAGAAGGAGGAGGAGAAGGAGACTGTTAATGTAAACGTGGAGACTGCGATAGTGGCTAGACCCGAGGGCGAGGTTGAGGTCGAGGATGACGAGGACGAGAGCGAGAGTGAGAGCGAGAGCGTGGATGGGGAGGAAGAGGAGGATTCTTGGACTCCGTCGCGGAGTAAGTCCACGCGCAAGGTGCAGGTTCCGGCGAGGTATAGGGATGAGACGGAATAAGGGCTGGCTTTATAGAGAGTACTATACTAATATTACCTCCCGGTATATTCTTCTGTTTTAACATATTTTCTATGGATTGAATGCAGTGGCTAGGAGTATATGATTTTGTTTTTATCTGTATAGAGCTGCTCGTTCTATATCCCTCTTCTATCCATACATCCACCTAGACTATCTAGACCCTCTGTACGAAGTACTGTGAACATTGCTCCCATTTCTCAATAAAAGCTACCGAGGAACCTTGTGTATTTCTCATGTCTCCTCGACACGTGATCCGGATGTTCCCGCGAAGTGGGGAGCTCAAGCCACACGATGACGTTGCCTGGATTTCCAGACCAAGAGAACAGAATTTGACAAGAAACATTCCACCTTGGCCCAAAACAAGAGAGGCTGGGAGGGAACCGGTCCCATTTGACGTCTGCAGCTTGCCGGGGTCAGCGTCACCCAGTCCAAGTCTTTGGCCTTCTCTTCAGCTGGCGCCTTGCAAAGCATGACCTCACACCTCACTTCATGACAACACACCCACATCTTGGTTGTAGTTAGTTCAAAAGGCCAAGTAAGTTCCCATAAAAACCTGCAATTTTTCTGCTCTCGTGCCTATTTTGTTTTTCTCGTGATTCGTCCTGTTTTGTTCTTGGTTGTCTCTTTTTCTCTCCTAACTTTCCCCTCGGATCTTCCCGTTTGATCTAAGACTTACGAAGCAGGGCTGTTTTGGCAGGCGCATCCCACCTTTGCAGCTCCCACGATCTCCGAGCTAGGCAACCCACTCTTCCAACAACTCCCCTCTTAACACTACACAATTCTCCTACCGCGATTGAAATCCAAATACACGTCGGCAGCGTAACTTCGAATACGCCAACGTCAAAATGACGCTCTACTATACTCTAGTACGACCTCCAATCCATTCCTCTGCCGGCAAGTTCCTGTAACGTCCGAGGAGAACCAAGACTAACGAGAATGCCAGGTGTTCGTCCTCCTAATGGGAGAGATGGCAATGTTCATGCTCCTCATCCTTCCCCTTCCCTACACCATCAAGCGCAAACTCTTCACGTATGTGGTTCCCGTTTAACCCTCCCTCAATTTCTTCCAGCGCCGTGATCTGACGCTCCCGTCTAGCTTCATCTCCGAGAGCCCCATCGTCGCCAAAATTCAGTACTGGATGAAGATCACCTTCGTCTTCATCCTCATCCTCTTCATCGATAGCGTTAACCGCGTCTACCGCGTCCAAGTCGAACTAGGCCTAACTTCCGAGAATGCCAAGAACAAGTATGAATCGCCCTTCCATGTTCCCCCGCGGCCCTTAACGGGGAAAATAAAACAAAGTAGAAAATGAGCTCCGTACTGACAATGAATAACCGAAACAGTCCCGCCGCCGTCATGGGCCACGAACGCCTCGAAGTCCAAGCCCGCAAGTTCTACTCCCAGCGAAACATGTACCTCTGCGGCTTCACTCTCTTCCTCTCCCTCATCCTCAACCGCACCTACGTCATGATCCTCGAGGTCATGGAGCTCGAGGATCGTCTTCGCGCTTTCGAGTCCAACAAGAACCGCGTCACCGCCGACCCCGAAAAGGAGAGGCTGAAGAAGGAGCTCGCCTCCAAGGAGACCGATTTGGAGACTCTTAAGAAGCAGTGCGAGGGTTTGCAGAGGGAGTATAATAACCTTAGTGATAAGGTTACGGATGGCCAGGGGACTGAGCCTAAAAAGACGAAGTGAGGCGTCGAAGAAACCTCCCGAGAATAATGGGCTCGATGAGTGGGGCTTCTAGGCCCACTTCAAGAGGAATCGCGACAAGCATATCAGGAATACCTTGAGGCTGTTTGGCGGTTAGAAAAGAGAAGGGGATGTTCATGAAGACTGTTATTGAGAGAAGAAGCATGTCGGATTCGGTATGAAGGGGCGGAAAAAAGGGCTTCCAATGTCTGTATGTCTAGTTGTCTCTGGGATTCTATCATTCTATATGGTAGTTTTGTAGTTGGGTTTCCATGGTTAATCCATCAATTTCTAAAGTCTGGTGGTCAGTCCTGAAACACTTGGCTGGGAGTAGAAGTTTGTTTCCCATCACCCTCTTACTCTATAAGTTAAAGAAAACCGAGACAGCGGCATGAATCCAGTCTCTAGAACAAAATATCTGAAAAGGAAAAATGGAAGAAGAGAAAGGAGGCCAAGAAACAGTCTCTATCCGTCTATTTTGTAACCCAGGTAATCCAATACAAACATAAGAGAATAATGGGAAGAAAAAGAAACAAGACGGTCATAAACAAATCAAAAAGAAAAGAGATAGTTAAAACAGACAATCCCTCCCAACACGCCCATCTACAACCCATACCTATCAGGAAACAAAATCCCATTCGCCATCCTCAACACCTCCTTTTCCACCTCACCCTCTACAGCCTTCTCATCCCACGGCAACAACCCCATCGCCCTCAGGCCATCCTCCCCACCAGCCTCATTAACATCCTGCACCCCCGGCCTCCCCATATGCGAACGCTCGCCCCTACCGCCGCCGAAATCGGGACTCGGGTGGCCGAGGAGAAACGCCTTGCGCTGGCCGGCGAGGTATAGGGCGTTCGTTTGGGTGAGCGGGCAGGCGGGGATGTACATGACCGTCGTAGCGTCGGCGGGAGAAGTGCGGGGCTTGCCTGGGTGGTTGTCAATGGCGTAGATTAGGTCCGGGTGCCAGAGGACGTAGTCGCCTGGCCGGAGGTCTGGTACGGTGACCATGGAGCGGGCGAGTTGGAGGTGGGGGTGGAGGAGGTCGTTGAGTTCTTGGGTGTAACTTGGGAGCGCGCCTTGGATGACGCTGGTTTGGATAGGGCTTAGGCGCCAGTTGGCTTCGTTGAGGTAGGTGGCGGTGGAGGGGCACTCATCGAGCGGCACCCGAGGCTCGAAGAAAGGGCGAAGGAGGAAATATGCCGTGGAGAGCTTGAGCATCGGGCAGAGGAGTAATGTGTCGTCCCCCGTAGATGCATCGCTGATAGAGAGCCACCCCTGGAACATCCTAAACATACTACATGTGCCAGCCCCGTTGTAAAGATCGCTCGTGACGCCAAGCCTTGAACTGCTCTCCCAAGGGTCATACTCCTCCCACTTGCCTTCCCATATCTTATCGTATGTGCCTCCTCTTCCGTAACCGTCGGGCTCCCACCTCTCGACGCTCCCGCCGTCGACATGCGCATTTTGATAATGCCTCGAGTCGCCGCCCCTAACCTGCATGCGTAGCCTGTCTGCATAGGCAACGGGAAAGTTGGTGCTTAGAAGGGCCGATGGGTCGCTAGAGTGCCATAACTTCATCGCGAGCCTTTGTGTAGCGAAGACGTTGGGGTGAGCTCGACCCTTGATCTGCGCTGGAGTCCAGTACACCCCGAAAAGATGCGGATCGCGAGAAGAGCAGCAGCGCATTTTGGGGTTCGTTGACAGGTACATCTCGGTCTCTTGTTTCCAGGTCAAAGCTTCGGCTCGGGGGACGACATTCCTCACGATGGCGGCTCCCCTCCTCTTGAGTTCTGCGGAGAACTTGGCAACGATAACTGGGTTCTTTGTATCTTCGAAGTCGATGACGGGTATTATACTTGAACCTCTGGATGCGATGCCTTCAATCTCTTTGCGTAGCTCAGAGAGTAGTCTGCTCCAACTCGCGGCAACTGCAGCCTCCCGCCCAGATAGCAGAGCCTTCTTGATGCGTGCGAATCTCGGGGGTAGAGGAATCGGGTCTCCGGGAGGGAAGGGCATCGCATCCATGCTTAAGAGATCTGGGCAGAAAGGAAGGGAGAGGTGATGTGGGCTTGGGGAAGCTAACATCGTGGTGCTTTAGAGATAGGCGGAACTCTTTGCGTGACTATGAGTTTAGGTGATATACCGATGTAAAGACTGCAGAGATATGACCGAGGACGAAAAAGAGTGACAAGGAGAATTCGAAAGGGCATGGGAAAATGGACTGCGAAGGTGAGCCCACCTCGGATCTCGAAAATTAGGATAAGAGAATAGATGTAAATGCAATTTCGCTAAGTGCCATGAGATCGGGATCTTGCCGCGTCCCGCTGAAATTTGCGGCACTGGAAGCAGATAGATTGAATTGCGATATGCGCGGCGGAATGGCTAATGGGAATATATAGTTGTTCTTTGCCGTCGGGTTAGAAGAAGATGATTCTTAAATGACAGAGAGTGAGAAGGGGATGATCCCATGGAAGAGGTACCCGGCCTCCCGCGAAACCCCGTTGAAGGGGGTGAGCCGCGTGAGCCCCTAGCGAAGTAATCCATGGCGTCTCCTACTTGGTGATGAGAGAAGCTTGACGTTGTACGGGCTAAAGGGACCTCGAGGAAACAAAGGGAGTTTTGACAAGAACAACGTCGACCTACTTCTTTCAGCCAGGGTGGACGGGCCGTGCTGCCGCATCGACGGCACTCATGGCCAGGATCACCAATGGGGCATTTTTCGGGTACTTGCAGGCAGCCTAAGAACGGCAGTGCAACGCTCACCGACTTAGGCAGCGCAGGCTCTGAAGTTGAGATAGCGAGCGTACCATGCATAAATGCGCACGCACTACTGGGCTTGCATACAACCATGGAAGTTATCGTTAGCACATGAGTCGACGCCTAGAGCTGCACTCGATAGTCGCGTTTCTACCTCATTGCCCATGCGGCTCTGTGTTATCGGGAAACTCGGTGTGCTGGAAGGACATCCACCACCCCGGTCGGCAGGGCTCCTTTCGCGATTTCTAGCCGGAAAATCCGTCGATCCGGACTGCATAAGTGAGCGATGCAAGATCGGGGATTTTCCCTCATTTGTCGCTGAGAATATTATGTCTTTCTTCCTTTGGCAGGGCGCATACTTCGAAAAGCACATTTTCCTAAGGACGAAATTAAACTCCACCTCCAAGGATTGGCACACGAACTGTCAAAGAAAAAATGAATCGCTCTCGCACTAATTCCTTTTTAGTCCCCGCCTCAACTAGGTCGATTCCGTTTAGACCGGCGTAGGGGCGCTGTCACTAGCTCCTTGTCTTCGTCGGAATCTTGCTTTCTTTTTCCCGACGACTTCTTGGGCGCCTTGGTCGCTGGTTGCTTCACATGTGTCTTTGGCTTGCTAGGCATGGGTAGCTCTCCCTTCTCGGCCTTTGGCCCGGACTCTCCAGGACCTTCATTGATTACGACATAGGCAACCTTTTCAAGGTCCATTGCCTTTATGCCCAATCTCTTAATCAACTTCTGCGCTTCGGCGTTGAGAGCAGCATATTCCTTCTTGTTGTACTTGATGGGGTCCTTCTTGCCGTTGCAGCAAAGCCAGTAAAAGGCTTCATCGGAGAAGAAGAGAACGCGCTCCGAATCATGAACGGACAGTAGGAGGGACGCCGTCGCCGGGCCGATACCCTTGAGTTTGGTTAAGATGTCAACAGCTGCCGATGCATCGGACGTGTCCCGATATACTTCCAATGCGTCCTGAATGATCTCTTCGACGGTGTCCGGGTCGTTAGAGCTTACGAACTTCATCAACGTCGGTCGAAACTTGCCATGTCGCCTAGAGGACGAGGTTTAGATTGAGGACGTGGGACTTGACAGCAATGTGCTAGCTAGGTGTAATTGTGCAAGCACAAGCTGGAGTTCACTGTTCGGAATATTGCGGCTAGTCTATAGGACGGCGCCCGAATGGAACCGCCGGTAACATTAAGACAGGGACGGGGGAATTAGGATATCGGAGTGTCTGGATGACAATCTTGCAAGACTTGATATGCACGCGAAACACCGAGATGCAGCGCCCAGAAATACAAGGAAAGTTGTGGGCAGACTTACAGCTTCCACTCTACAAGAGACTTGACATCGTCTTGAACCATAGCCCTATTAGGGTTGTCCAACCGGAAAGTTTCGGGAGCCTCAACATAACGGTAGTGGTCAAGGTCGACCAAAGGTTTCTGGCCCGTCTTGGCTACGCGGGAATTATGTTAGAATCAACATTGGTAGATCCGGTGTCATGGTATCAACGGATTTGGGCCAGATTGAAAATCGGGAGTGTAGGGCGTAGTGTGGTGTGTAGTAGCTGGAGAGTGTGTGTGGATACAACCAGGGATGCTTTGTGGAGCTAAAGATCCCAGTGTTCAGATCCCTCGGACAAAAGCACGCCGCGATGAAGGTCCGACTTACCGGCTTTCCCATCTGATACCGATTGTAACAGGGATGGATATCTCCCAAGCAGATTCTCAAACTCCTTGGCTGAAATATCCGCTGGGGACACTACCTTCTCCGAATGGGCCATAATAGAGAGTGTTATTGAGCCTCAACGAGGCTGTATGGTTGTATTGACGTTCAGAAACACTCCTGGCTAACAAAGGGCAATAGTCGCAACGGATATCTGTCCACCAATTGTAGGCTGAAAAGGCGACCAGCACGCGCGATTGTTCGGTCGGGCAGCAGCAGGAGTTCTCACCGCGGCAGGAAACTCTCCGAGACCCGAGGGGAAGGGAAAGAGAAAGAGAAAGAGACGGAGGTTTATGGGGCACGTTGATAGTTCCCAGGCACCACGACGCGGCGCCAAACCAAAGTTCAAATTGTCGACAAAGTACTTCGTACAGGGAGAGACGGGCAGGTTGCGGAATCACGTGCACTCAGCGCTGCCTGTAAGTTGTCGCATCGAGTCTGGGGTACCTCAGAACTTTTCGAAGTACAATTGTAGACAATTGTATTACCGGCTTTTTAACTATAGTCAAACTCGAGAGGAAAGTTTGCCCGGCCGGGCAAGGGATTTGCATTAAAACTGTTCCTGTTCAAGAAAAAAAATTAGGCAGGCCAATTCTTTCAAGAGCCTGGCTGGCTGAAAATCGATATCCATTGATGTTGAGTTGATCCAGTCAAATCGTGTACAAGTGGACTTGGTCTAGACTGCGCCTTAGGCTCTCTCAGGCTATTAATAAACTTGATCTGATTCTGCCCCTCCACAATGCATTCTCCATTCCGATTCTCCATCGTAAAATCTTCCCCGCCGCCTTTTTTTGTTCTGCCATTTTTCTCCCTTCTCTCGCACCGCCCTTTCAACGAACACTTCTCTCCGGTCTATTACTCTCGTTCCAAGGTTATCTCAACACTTCCTCCAAAATATTTCAAAATGGGTAACGTATGTATCTAACCCGAGTCCACTACTTTCGCATTGCTTGCCAAGAGTGAAAAGACTTTGGATCAATGATGTTAACGGGATTCGCTTGTCTAGGGTGCGAAGGCTCAGCAGAAGCGCGAGCGCAACCAGAAGGATTCAAAGGTTGCCAAGTCGCAACTCAAGTCTGTACGTCACGCCCACTCGATCGAACTCTCCTCCTACCGAACCCAGTCCACAATCCTTGGATCTCGAAGAATGAAGAGAACAAGGAAGAACGAGCGCTCCAATACTAACCGTCTGCGTACTAGAATACCGCCGCTTGCAACATCGTCTGTAATGTTTGCAAACAGTCCTTCCTTCAGACCTCCAAAGCTCCTACGTACGGTACCCCCAAGCCAAAACCGACCGCTATACTATGTTGCGGTATTGCTAACACGGAAAACTAGTTTGACCATCCATGCCGAGAATAAGCACAGCAAGACCTTGGCAGACTGTTTCCCTAACTTCCAGGCTTGAGGACTTTCCACGTCTTGGTAGCGATGGTGTTGGGTGGCAAGAATGTGAAGGTATGGCATGATATTGGTAGGAAAGGAAGGCAGGCTTTGCATGCCCCCCCTAATACCGATATTTTGCCTTCAGCTTCATCCGATGGGTGCGTTTTAGAAAGCGGCATTTTCTTTTAAATAGCGTTGGCGTATCATATGTCCGAATGGGAAACGATGGAATGGACCTTTGTTTTGCACTTTGATTTCTAGTCTCCGGAGTTACGAACCAGTAGTTACCAGCAATCACAAATGTCATACATGCGGGTTGTTCAACTATACGAAGTATTCGTTTCTTTTCTTTGTTTTCTTCTGTCTGTCCCGCGATCAGTGGGCCACCACAGTAGCCGGCGCAACAGGAATAGCCTGCTCCTTTCCCCTCTTAATCCTCTCCTGCTCCTCCCTCACATCCCTCAACAGATCAGGATACCACCTCTCCGCCACATCCGGATGACTCTTAACCCGATTCCTCAACGTCGCCTCCCCCAACGTCTTCGCAACACCACCCTTCCTAAACGTAAACTCCACATCATCCAGCCTGCCCCCATGCTCCGCAATGATCCTCCTTCTCTGCTCGCGCACATGCTCCGGCACCTCCCCAACGCCCACCGTCTCGAGGTCAATAAAGTCCGTATCCCCGCGCACGCCCTGGAAGAACGGAATCGACAACCGCGCGCCCTGGCCCGCGGGGGGAGAAAGCACGCGATGCGTGGTCGACGCGCAGACGCCTCCCGTCAACGCCTCAAGACCCTGGCCGATCGCCACGACGAGGGTTTTGTCGATGGGCGGGCAGTCGATCCATTGGCCGTCGAGGTTCTGGACCTGTAGGCCGCGGTGGTTCGTCACTTGGAGTAAGTAGCTGGATAGCATGCTGTCCTTGTGCGGGCCCACGCCTTGGCCCTCTCCTTCGAGCCCGAGTTCCTGGAGATCGGGATATTTGACGATCTTGAGCTTGTGCTGCTGGTTCTCGTCGAAGTACTTGCTGAAGGCGTCGGCGGGCAGCTCGATCGCCTCGGCGATCAGCGACGTGAACTCGATGGAGATCTTGCCCATGCGGTTCATGTAATCCGTAAACGCCGCGCGGAATCCTGGGAGCGCCTCTTCCGCAGGCCACTGGTTCGGCGCGAGGAGGTTGTAATGCAGGGGTGAGCCGGGGGCGGGGGTTGGGTGCTCCGTGGAGAGATCAATTTGTTCGCGGTGGTCGATGGCGCCGGCGGTGATTTCGGCGGAGAGGCGGGAGTAGCCGAGGAAAGAAGGGGCGTTCTTCATCTCGATTCTCAGTCTGTAGCGTGGGGAAAGAAACGCTCGTGTCAGTGTGCAGTCTGTCAAGGCAGGGAAAAAAGGATGCCGATAATACAAGTCGGAGAATATGGAATCAATGCATAATGTAGAGAGTCCTTTTGACGTACTTTTCCTCCTCGGGGATATCGAAGAATTCCTTGCCCAGGCGAATCACGCTCTGCCAAAGATCATCTGGTATCCCGATGTTCTTGAGGTAGAGGAAGCCCACCTCCATGAGCGCGTGCCGGAGCTCCTTGAGAAACTCCGGCTTCGTCTCCGGGTTTCTCGCCAGGGAGAGGTCAAGGATGGGGATAGATTGGAATGACATGGCTGCTTGTTAGGAATGTGCTTGCCTGGGCTTCACGAGAAGCTTCCAAAAAAAAAGAAAAAAAGAAAGAAAAAGAGCTCGAATATATTGGCAGTCGATCGTGATTCTTCCAAGGCTTCCAAGGGCGCAATTGACTGAAAAGAAAAGGAGGGGCAGTGCAGTGGTGGGGTTTATCGCACGCCATCGATCAAATTATATCTTCTGTATGGCTCCGAGGGAGGGGCAACTTCAAAGTCTACGAAAACGCGACTAAACTCCGCGATCCCATAAGATTTCTCACATTGATACAAAGTACGAAGTAGATCCCGCAGGTAACCTGCTCATAGTCTCTCTGAGAGGCGAATTGATAGTCTGCTAAGATTGATAATTGGTCCTTTACCACCGACACCAACACTGCCGTCCCTCGCGGTACAATTGGACAATTGCAGTTCCACCATGACAATCGTTCGACCTCTCGATCACGTAATATAAGTGTCCGAAGTTGCTATTGCTGCAACAGCCAGTAGAATCCAAGATAAGTGCCCGCAGCCTGTTCCCAGCTCCGGACGGAGCCGATGAGCACGTCCGGCTTCAAATGGTAGCTCCACATCAAATGTTTCCCCACACTTCATATGTCCCGTCATTCGTCCATCTCAAATCCATTGATCCATTTCTTCCGACGTTCCCACCAGTCGTTCATGCAGAGGTCGGCTCGACTTTCTTCGTGGCGAGCAGTCCGGCAACCTTGTAGAATACATCCTCGATCGCGGGCATCGCGAATGCGGGAGCTGCGTCGAAGATCGCCGCCAACCGAGGCTGGTTGACAACGGCTGGGTGAGCTGCCTCGTCTTCTGAGTCCACGTCCATGCCGTCAGCGTTTCCTTCTTCGTCTTCCTCATCGTCGCTGACCTCGAACATTTCGCCGAGTGCCAACGGCTTGGCATCGCCTTCCGTCACCTCGATTGTGTCAAGTCGCATCTCCTCTAGGGGCTTCGCGACCGCAAGGGCGCCCGTGTCGGTGCCCTCGGCGATGGTGCGCAATTGGGCATGATCGTCGAGGATGATAAACCCACTCGAGTGTGGGCTGGTCACCAGACTTAATACCCAGCTAGGGATCTTTCTGAGAAGAACCGGGACTGGACTCTCGGGGCTAAAGAGGCAGATCTCCGTGCCCGTTGGGATAGGCATCGTCAAAGCAAAGTGACGGCTCTTTGAATCCACCCCGATATGGATGGCATCCTCGGCCCCACGCTCCTTGGAAGTGATTGTTAGAGGCATTCCGTAGCATAGATCGTCCGCCACCACATCGTAGACCTGGAGCATATCTGAGAGAATGATAATGTATGGCGAGAGCACGTGTAAGCCGCGTAGGGTACCCAACCAGAGGTCATCAAGCACTCCCTTGACATCTCCGGATCGAGCATCAATGACATACAAATTGCCGTCATCCGCAGAGCCGTAGGCAACAAAGAGAGTAGAGCCGTCCTCAGAGAACGCAATACGGCCCTGATTCTTGGCTGCTGGAGCGGCCCCAGCACTCTCGACAGCGAGTTGATCACCGAGAGGAATCATATGCGTGCAGGACCACGTATGAAGGGCATTGCCATCATTCTTCTTGGTCACCGCAAGGCCATCCTGTTGTCGAACCTTGGGACGCCAGATCCTAGCGAGACCATCATTGCCGATTGTCGCAAATCTCGTCGAGGTTGGATCGGACGCAAGGTCAAATACTGCCTCCGGCTTGCTGGTGACGTGAGGCGAGTTGATGCGCGAAACAAGAGCAAAGCTGTCGGCATTCTCTGCGCTCCCACCTGCTTCCCAGAATTTCAGGTAAATCTCTCGCTTGTCACGAGAGAGTGTTCGTTCCTGGTCCTCGCTGAGATTTAAGCCGTCCTTCTGGAACGGCTTCCATTCATCTACTGTGGCTAGCCACTTTCCATCATGAGAGAAGGCGATGTGGCTGACTTGCGGATCTGTGATAGCCTCTCCTTGAGATGTGAAGTTGGCATCCGATGGGTGTGTCCTTGCGATTGCCTGCTTTGAGACACTCCTGAACGACTCAAGGTCAACCGTTTGAAGGAAAGGAGCCGAAATAGTATCGCCTGACAGTGTTGCCTGGTTTCCGCCTCCCACGCAAAGATACAGCCGGTCGGGGATTTCTGGGTGAAGTGCTGCTGGAATAGATGTGGGCATGTCACCTTCTGTCGAAACCCGAGAAACCCATTGATCCTTGGAAGGTCGAGAATTACGCGTGACGGACTGAATCCCCGAAACATAAACCGTGGGTTCGAGCTCCGCAGTCGATAGGACCATAGTTGAATTGTCATCCAGGTGAACAATATACGACGCCCCGCTATCAGAGACAACAAGATTCTCAACGACTCCCGCAAGGTGAGGCAAGAAGCTCATCTTAGCCGTGTCCATCTGCCAAATTACCAAGGTCTGCTCCGAGCCTCCGGATATCATATAGTTGCCTATTCGCCTCTGTCAGCATTCTGTGTACAAATTTGACCCGTTAATAGTCTGCCAACGTACCATCACGAGACCACTTGAGGGCATGGACAGCCCGACGGTGCCAGTGGTATTTCCTCGCCACCAAGGCATCTTGACCAGACTCCTCACTATCCATGACTTCCAGCTTCGCTATCAGATCATTGTAGTAGTAGATAGGACCCCGCGCTCCACCGACAATAACGTCGACAATCGGCGTGTTTGGGTTCCTAGCTGCTTTGGACTTCTCAATCATCGCACGACGGCCCTGGGCCGGTAGCTTGGTTGTGGCTGAAACCCGTGCGTCGAGTGCGGTTATGATATCGCTTGTTTCGAAATGGTAGAATGAGAACGACAGGTCGGAGAACGAGGTGAACTTGCCGCTCGCAACGCCCACAATAAGAGACGTGTCGGACGCGGCCAGCAAGACTCGCGAATCGTTGACAGATTTGAGGCTATGCATCGTCTTCCCCGAATGGGACAACGCTACCAGGACGTTGCTCACTTTGGTCTCATCCGTACTCTGATAGTTGTATGCGACAAGGGTGTTCCGCCCATCTTTCGTGTGCTCCGAAACAACTAGAAATTCGCGCTGGTTCTTTGCAATCCTGAGGGATATGGTTACCATATCTACAGCGGTGTGAGACTTGGTCAGTACCGGCTCACGCAGTACCGAGCCAACCGTCCAGTCTATCAACCACAGGCGGCCATCGGAGCAAGCGACCCATATATTATTGGCGTTCTGCGACGAAAGGCGGGCTGCAACTATCGCGAATCCATCATTATGCGGTGGCTTTATGGGGATTCGGCGTATGAGGAGTGAATCGGCAGTGGTATACACCTGGATAGAGGTTGTGTACGCCAGGATCAGGTATCTGTTTTGACACGTCAATTTTGAACAGGCGGAACCGCAGCGACTAGCTATCTCTCTTCCCCGTACCTTTCGTCCGCAGTCAAAATAGGATCAATATCTTCTATCCTCCCGCCTAGAGGCTTCGAGACCGTCCAGCCCGTCTCATGTGAATCTTCGGCCTTCAATTGGGAAGTCGTCGTGGGACGGTGGAGGAGCCCCTGGCTTAGGGTTCCTGGTTGAGCCGCAGGGGTTCCAGGCAGAGAATCCTCCCCGTTTCGAACCTTGCCAGCCTTTGGACTGCTGAGCAGTCCCTCAGTTTCATTCTTCTGGTTCTTCATGCGTTTTTGTCGAGCCTTGATGTGTCGATCCGCGTCCGTCGGGTCTCGCTTCCGCTTGTGAGGCCGGGCGTCGCGTCGCTTAGAATCCGGTGTCGAAGTCATTGTGACGAAAGCCCAAAGGATATCGCTCGAACCTGATGATCTTTTTTGGAATTCTGTCAAGGACAATGCCGTTCTAAGCCCGGTCGTTGACGGCAATCTGCAGAAGCCTCCAGGTTAGAAAACTTCAATGTTCTTTGCAACTTTGTGGTGGAGCAAGGTCCCCACCAAAAAAATTTCCAGGCCGATAAGATATCGGAAAAACTTCGCCACAGCAACGTCCCGAGAATTTATTTTTTTGATCTGGGAACAATTCTCGCCATCCAGAGCGTCACTCCGGACTCCCACAACATCGCGACGATTCTCGTTCTACTACCAGTATATTGCTGCTCGTCATCAAAATGATCATTCCAGTTCGCTGCTTTTCCTGTGGAAAGGTTTGTCTTGTTCGATGATATAATGGAGTCGGAAAATTTAAACTAACGCCACTCAGGTCGTTGGTGACCTCTGGGAACGATATCTCCGATATCTTGACGAGGGCTTGAACGACGGGTATGGCTTCCCAAAACATTCCTAATCTATAATTCTTTTACTGACGATTTCTAGCGATGCCATGGATCAACTCGGGCTTCGCAGGTACTGCTGCCGCCGCATGGTTATGACCCATGTCGACCTTATCGAGAAGCTTCTCAAGTATGCGCCATCCCACTTTCCCCCTTGACTCTACTCTTGGGCGCCTGCTAATGGACATTCGCCCGCAGGTACACTCCCGACGGACGCGATGCGAAGAAGAACCACCTTGCGCCTTAGATTCACTCCCTGACAGGGTCGAAGATGTTTGCATGGCATGGCGTTTTGGTTTGATTTACTCGCGCGTTCGGGATTTGGGTTTTCGTAGAGGGCTTTTACGGATCACGTCGGCCTTCCCGTTGATGTGACTACGATTCTTTGCATACGATAACCCCGTGAGAACCTCCTCTTAGCCTGGATGTTAATACCTTGAGTCTATTCGGATTTTCCATCGGCGGGTTTGCGCCTGGGATCGGGTGTGCTTAGAGAATATGCTGCCTGTCGAGTGTATGCTCGGACCCTTGGAAAGAGCGCTCTCATGAGGAGTATACCCCAACCTAGCCAGTTACCACCTCAGCAATTGTCATACTGTGTGTGGGACAGGGCCGTTGCATTCGAGCTACATTGGGCTTCGATTCTCACCCTTCGACAGCTGTTCGGATTGCAGCTACTGAGCGTACACCTCGTTTCAGCTCCACGAGCAGCATCCGTTTCACCTCTCTAATATATGGGCAAAGGCTTGGCCGTCCCCTGGCATAATCCGCCACCGTCCCCAAAAGGCAGCCCTAGATATCTAGCTACACAGGAATAATATAAAGCTATTTATTAACCAATGTAACCATTCCACGCCGCAGACGTGTTATTTTACACATGTCCTCACTTAAGAGAGGGGGCCGGGGGAGAGTGCAATAGAAGAGAGAGAAAGTAGAAGAGACGAGGAGAAACATGCGCAACAATACCCCGCGACTCCTCGCCGCCCCACGTTCTTCTCCTAATTTTCTCAATGTGTGGGTAAGAGCAACTTGAGATACTCGACAACGGAGTGTTGTATAAGTCATCCTTACTTTGTTGAGGACACCAAACTTGGCCCCGTCCTTCTTCTGGAGCCGATTGCTCCGGAGGACTTGAACTTCCGTATTGGATAATGATAACTAGTGGCACATGGTGGTTGGCTAGGAGAGCACGGCTACCAAAGGTCATTTGACGAGATACAATGAGCGAGAACCCTACACAAAAGACGGGAGTAGATTGTTTATCGTACCCTAACATCTATAATTGAAACCTAATGAACGATTCAACCCACCCACCTCGAGTTCACGGGTGGCACTGGGGCATTTCCGTAAGCTATTGGTCATAGGATGCTCTGACCACTCAATCAGCCTCAAGAGAGCCGTTTCCGGATGTAATATGGGAGAACCACATCGCTGGGGCCGGGACGGGCACGGCATTGATAACCACGCCATTTAGCGAAGGCGCGTCGTCAGAATACAGCATGTTGGCGGTGAGTATCAGGTCATCTCCCATGCCCTCATAGGCCGTTCCATGAAAAAAACTTTTACGAATGGATGCGCTTTGGACGGCCTGCAAAGACCTGCAGAGGGAGGCAGATCTCTTGATCCCACACACAGCTCGTGTTACCTTCGATAGCATCTTCCACCCCGCTTCTCGAGGTTCCTAACGAACAAGTCAGATGCTGGCAGCTCCAGCAAACCGCGGTAGAGGCGGTGGATAACATCGCCACGTCTATAAGCCTCAGTGGCCGTTGTAGCCGCCGTACTAGACCTGCATTGCATAGAAGCCCTTCAAGCGCAAGGGTGGCATTTTTTCCACTTCTAAATCTGCGAAGTAAACCTGTTGTGCCTACGACCTAGAATGGACAGGGATGCAGGAGAGACGCCAGTGTCCCACTCTCCTGCACCTACTTCTCCACGGCAGCGCGTGTGAGGGAAAAACAAACAGTTAATCGCCGAATAGTGGGCGTTGGCCAAGTTTTCTCCCATCCGCCATAATCTGGTCGAAGCGGTAAAAAGCAAACGATACGAGCAGATGAGTGGGGAACAACGACGAAGGCAAAGAACCCGATTCGGGGCTGTATCGTCAACGCCTGCAAGCAGGGATACGTCAACGGTCCAAAGGAGCGAAGGGGAACACATGAGTGGCTCAGGGATGATCAGTTTGCGCACTTTTTTTTTCTCTCTTCTCAATGGCACCTGAGACGGTTCCAAGCTGTCGGATCCAAAGTCATCATGTGATTCGCAGGGCAGCTCATCGAGTTGTTTGGGGGCTTTTGCTTTGACCAATGTGAAATTGTTTGTGGGTTGCCAGTGTGGATATTGCGCTGGCAGACTGCAATGGAAGGAGGGTCGATTCATGCCCGACCAGTCTTGTTCCCTAGTTCATCCGAAAGGTCCTCAAGTGGTGCGAACGACGAAGTAGTCGTTTTCACTTGCATTCGTCGACGCAGATCCTATTTTCGACAGAGGATGAGTATGGCCTTGTTGGATGAATAGATGAAAGGGCCTGAGTATGCGTACGAAGTACAGAACTTCGTGTGTATGTAGGCATTGATACATCGATTGTTCGACCAATTTGAATTCGAGCAGGCGCATGGCGGTTTTGTGTAGGACAGTTTGCAGTGCACTAGCAATCGATACCAATGCAGTCTGACCTGGCTTGGCTTGCTTGGCGGGCATTTGGTTGACCACGATACTTCGTAATCCAATTGAAAACAAGACACAAGATGATCGGTCACGATACGAGTGCACTTACAAATATAATTGAAGCTGACGCAGACCTTCACCATCTGTACTATTTCCGCTTCGGTTCCGCTTCTGTAGTGAGAAGAGCCCTCCCTTGTCGTGATATACCAATAGTCTTGAAAGGCACCTTTTTTCTTTTTTTTTTTTTTTTTTTACCAAATCACTACCATAGGAGGTACATTGATGGTTCATGGAAGAAACCGAAGCGAACTTGCCTCATCCTCGATTAGAATCTGCCCACATCTAGAAAGGAGAGGAAATCCCAATTTACGTCCTGCATATTTATATTGAACCATTTTCTCGGTCCGAAAGATAACCAACACGTAATAATACTTCGTGCATATTACGATATGAGGTAGGGTTTGATCCACAGCACCTGCGTACCAACACCTGTTGGACAAGCCGTACCGAGTCGTTCACTGCCGCGTTGAACCAACAGACTGTAGATGCCTTCCGAAATAGGTAATACACGCGTTTCCAGTGCCCTTTGAGGTGTCCATCACCGAATCGGTTCCATCCTCGGGATGAAATGTGCAGTTGGCCGTGGCGTAAGATGAAGACTGGTCCAACGGAAGACTGACGGAAAGCTTCCCCGTGGCCAAAGCGTGTGAGGGTAACACTCGACGGAGATTATAAACTCGGATGACCACAGTATCTTGCTCCCCGAACAGTGATTCTGTCGGCTTTCCGCAGACGAGACGGACCTGCTTCCTTGATAGCAATCAAATGTGACATCCACCCTGGTAGCTTGAGATTGGGGAGTCATTGCGCGAGGCATTGACGGTCTTGTGTGTTCTCCTCCACCAAGACCAATATGAACACCAACACGAACACCAACGTCAACACCGCGGTTAGTACCCACAACTTACGACATATCATGGGCGTCTACGCCGTCTACCCCTAAAATATCGCCCCCAACGTAGCACTGGCACTTTTGGCCTCGTGTTGGTTGGGCGGACGTGCATCCGCCATCCCTCTTTCGAGAGATAACAGTTATTCAATGGCATTGACTGAAGGATCCAGAATCCAGGTTAATAAAACCTGGCTAATGGACCAATGTGTACACTACGTGCCTCTAGTCAATAGCTTGCATTCACTAGGGGCAGTGAGATCCTAGCAATTCGATCCATTGGCGTGGCCGAGCCCCCAAGGATGCTTACCTGAAAGTAGCTCAATGCACGGTATCATGACCTCACGATTTGGTGTATGCATTGATGCTCTGGTCGCCTAAACGCCCGGCCAGCATCCCCCTCCCAGGTTAGACCTGGACGGCAAACATTACCGCGGAATGGAGCACCGGCGTGCCCACGAGCTTGGGGCGGTGTAATCTGGGTCAAGGCGTTCTGGAAAAAAAATGAAGCCGGAACCGAAGGTGGTGGTGGTCTGCGGACAAATAGACGCCGTTCTGCGGGTATTACACCGCTCTCATCCCGTATTAAACCATCTTGCATCTTATGGTTCTATGGTCCGACCCCAAGAAAGCCTAATTGTAATCGCTACGGCGAGGACCACATGGCCGGGTCCGTGTGTGACACCATGTTTGGCTACCAGTATGTATGCCTGGCCCCGACTGGTCCTTGAAACCAGATAAGCTACAACCAGCATTCATCGATGGTATGGGCCCTATTTAGAAATCCATTGGGGGCCGCGATGGCGCCCGGCCCCCAAGAGAATAAGACCTCTGGAAGCTCAACCAGCTACGTAAGGGTCCTCCTCGATCTGAGTGCGTGACAATGCTTGCAGGTAAAATGTACGTAATTATCGTAAGCGCCATCAATATATCTAGTGTGTATTGTTGGTGATGGGTGTGGCTACCTCGGACTTCGTAAATTAAAAAGATATAGGACGACGTGAAAGTTGGGAAATCGCGACGGCTGAGCACTGTCATCTCCCTGTTCCGGACTTCATTTCCACCCTCTTGGGATGGGCTAGGTCTTTTTCGGTTAGGTTAGGATCTCCACCCTTGTCGAGGATGGTGTGTCGACATCCCATTTGGGTTTACCTTCTTCTGGACTCCTGCTTCGTCCACAGATCCGGTGCTCATGAATAGCGCTGGGATAAGCGAGGACCGGATCAACCTTCCATTGAGCAGGGATCAATTGATCCCGATGGATCTGCTCGACCCCGCCTAGCTCTGTCCCAAGCCATCCGGCATCACATTGGTTAGCGTGGGGAGGATGCCCGGAATACGGGGACGACTGATATCAGAATCGATTCTTGACTTGGATGAGGAATTGGCCTGACAATGCTTCTAGTACTTCGTAAGAATTGGGGCCTGATTTCCTACGCATTTCTCCCAGCTTACACAGGTACTGGGCGTCTTTCCCTCTTCTTTGCAGGTACTCCTCTGACCTCCACCGGCTCTGGTATTGTAAATTTTCGTCTGCAAGTTAAGCGCCGACGCAACGTGCAGCCCACCCACCCATGACGCTTTCCTCGATTGTGACTGGCTCGCTGCCTGAATGGTTGCTCAACTAAAAGAAAAAGACGCGCAGGGTGCAGCAGCGCACTACTCGAGTCCTCGTTCCTTCTTTCCCAGCTGGTCGAGCGACATCCTTGTTGTATCCCTTCCATCTCCAGCCTGGCGATTTCTCGTTGGACTGACCTGGTTTACCTGCTTGGGTACTTCGTGCTGACGTCGATGCGAGGGAGCACGAGGGAGCACTAGGGAGCATCGGTTCTCCTGACACTCCTACGAAGTAGGATTAGTTGGTCCACTCTTTCGGGCTTTGGTTCCAATGGCCGTTGTTTTGAGAGGATTGGAGCCGAGGAATACAGGCTGATAGGACGTGTTCTTACTTCGGACTAAGTCTCCATTCGGGACCCGATGGAGAAAGGGTGTTGTCACCTCGGATGGAAAATATGATGGAGCAAGCTAACACTGCAGGTGAACCTAGCCTTTCCCTATTATGGGATCTGGCAGTCTCCAAGTATGTAGTGGTGTACATATGCCACAGCCGTCAGCCTTCCCCTTCTTTAGGAGATCATCCCTCGAAGCATTGCTGATTCCTTCATCCTTCGTCAGCAAATCCCCGAGCTCGTCTTCCTTCTCTCTGGATCGTACCAGATTCTTTTCCCCAAATTGTCAAAGTCGAGCATGTGTCTGAGTAACATTTGATTCAAGGGTGCCTCGTCGATCCAAGGGGTATGTCCTGCTGCCTGTGCTGTCTGCATCGATTGATCCTGCCGTCTCTCACAGCATCGAGAACATCCCATAGGTGACTCGTCAATTATTCCATCAGGTATTTTCCATTGTCGTGACGGTGAAAAGTACATCGACTTCTGTCCCCGGGATACATTCACTCGCGCGATGCGGTACCTCCTATACAGTGTCTGTACTGGGCGATGTTTGTGCTTCGCAGTGGTTGGAGCGCTGACTGCAGCCTGTAATATACCCTGTTAGACCCCATGGGAGCAAAGTCGTCACGTTTAGTACCGTGATATTATTCGCCAATTCCTTGCGACCCAAGTCATCAAGATGGCTGCTAGATGTACCTCGGTATACTTCTCCTTGTACTTCTAGAGATGCAGAGACCAACAATCAACGATTGAGACTTGCCGTAACTGGAACCACATGGATGGCACCAGGCGGGAGAAACACCAGAAACACCAGAACCATACACCCCCCACCCTCGCTCTTACCCTCTCTTCTCATGTCGTACACTCCAGAGGCAGCGGCATGCGCTGGACGAGGGTTAAATACAAGCACAAAGACATGAGCACGGTACTTCGTACATTGGATGAGTCTTGTATCTTTTATTGTTTGATTACTTCGTCCAAGTACGAAGTACAGTTGTCTTTTAACCCGGCTGCTTGCCCGCCCTGGCGCATTTGCACCCAGATCGGTCATCAAAGCCTGGAATTCTCACCAAACATTCTTCATTCTTTCCTCCTATTCTCCTCCTGTGCGTACGAAGTTCGCCAGCCGCCCACCTCCTTCTCTTACCTGGACAACTCATCGCTTGCGGTCTGCTCAAAGTAGTCCCCCCATTTCATTCGCCTTTGTGCCGGTGCTCGTCTTCCGAAGACTCAACGTTCCCCGCCTCTTTCTTCCATGCAAGCTATACCCGCCGCTCCAATCCGCCCTCAGCCGAAGCCTTGCCAGTCGACAAAACACTCTCCCCCGACACCCTTTTCTCGAATTCTCGGGCCAAATCCATTTACTCGAACCGAACTTAGCGCGAGTGCATTAAAGCCCTGTGCTAGCTAGATGTTACCTTCGTCTATATAATCACTTGGATTGTCGCGACCCGTTCCTCGAATTGCTCCCCTGTGCCCCCGCCCGACTCGGACTATTCCTGGGAAGACAAACGCAGCTCACTTGCTTTCAGAGCTTCACTCCTCCATCGACAGGAACCCGATACCGAGCTGTAATACGTCGCGAGTCTCGAGAAGAGGCGTGTAGCAAGAGCTTCTGAGGCTTTGCGCTTAAGCTGTACGCCTTGCCAACTAGCTTCCACAGGTTGGGCGGCTAAAGCACATCCATATACCGACCGACCTGGCCGTCTCGGAGACCACCTCTCAGCGCGGCATCAAGGTCCCTTGCTGCTCAGCCTATCTGGTCTCCGGCCAGCCGACCTGCTTTTATCCTTTAGCAACAATCCTTCCGATACGCCTTACTTGATCAACATTCTTAATTTGTAGTCTAAGCCATGGCCCTCGAAGCCCCATTGAGGTCATCGTCTGCACGTTTACCGTCTGGTTTTGCACCTCTCAACGAGATGTGAGTGGTTATCAATCCTTTCCCCAGAGTACTTGAGAGTGACTCAATTCTCTGTGCATTTGAACAATCCGTTAGTTATATAAAGAATGCTGACCCTTCACTCTTAGGTCGTCTTCAACCCCCGATCCCCATCTTCGACCCCACAGCGCTCAGAGGATATCAGCAAGCCTCAGTCTCGTGAGCCCTAGTGACCTCGTCGGCCCTTCGCCCGTCACCTCGAACGGAACCGAAACGACTGAGATAGAGGATGAAGAGTCCGAGGATGTTGTTCAGCCCAACCTGCCCGTAGCCCAGCCTCCTCAGGTGAGATAGCATCACGACGCAGGCGCTTAGCATGCTGCCGGGCTCATAAATTGATATTGACCCCTTCTACTAGCTGTTGATGCTCAAGACGAACATTCCTGAGCAAATCCGCAAGAGTGTCAGCGAGGAATCCGTGTCTGTTATTCACGCTCCCGAGAGCTTCCGCAGCTGGGTGAGTCTTGGCTCCCCGCTCCCCCTCGACGTAATGCTATTGAAGCTAACTCTTAACATGGAGCAGACGTCGACCGAGCCGACAGCAAAACAGGAACAGATGAGCGAAAGAGACTCACCGAAAGACACTGATGACATGGCCAGTGTTGAGGAATCCCATGAATTGGGACAGGTACAGGTTCGCCCTTTGCCCAGATACTATTTCTCCCGGAGCCATGCTAACTCTGCTCTTAGCCCTCCCGGGAGCCTCGGACTCCGGCACCCATAACGACTAACATAAGGCCGCTTCGGTACACCATCGAGGCCACCACTCCACAAGCACAAAACTTCAAAGATGTTTTCGGGGAGTCTACTAGGATACGCTCCAGTAGCACAAGTAGCCTAGGAAGTGCGTCTCTATCATTCACAACTACTATTATGTTCTACTAGCTAACTGGAGTCCTAGAAATCGATGAGCTCGGTGAGGGAGATCCAGATGCTGAAACGGACCAGGATGGCCTGTATGACCACTCGTTCGATGAAATGCGGCTAGAGTTCTCATCCGAGATTGCCGCCCTCCGAGCCGCTCTCCAGGAATGTTGGACCCTCTGCAACACTCTTGCGAACCTCAGCTCTTTTCATCGTTCGCGCGTTTTCAATAACTCGGGAACCCCTGATGCACATGAAAAGGCATGGAAGTCTTGCTGGAAGCTTTGCCAGCGACTTTACGACAACAAGGACAAAGACGAAGAGTCGCTGTCCGTGCAGCGAATGAACCTCGACCTCTGCCGCGATTTCTGCCAGTCTCTGTTTGATATTAGACAGCGGCAGGATGAAATTGCAGACTCCATCCTCCGGGTCAGTTTTGAATTAAACAACCAGTAAGTCAATTTCCCTTGGGTGATAAACCGGAGCGTAGTCCTTACTTCTGGAATGGGTTTCGATTGAGTCAATATGTATGCACATACTAATTCCACCTCTTTAAACAGTCTCTATAGCGCACAGGATACCCGTACTCTTCCGGAAGCCTTCCGTGAGCGGACTCTGGACTTTTACATCACCTTGTGCCACCGCCTAATGAAACAAAGGAGCGAACTCGAGGAGGAAACCGACTCGCTTCTTCGGGCGTGCTGGACCCTAGCCGAAATGCTCTTCAGCTTAAGGCAGAATAAGCGGGAAGGTCAACCTGCGAGCGAAGAGCTCCTGGGTTCTGCGGTTCAGGCGTGCTGGGAGCTTTGCGACATCTTCAGAGAGGGTTGCACCTCCGTTCGGCCCGAAAGGAATACTCCACGTGCGTCCCAGACCAGCTTCTTTGGGCATCATGAGCCGAGTGGCCGCGAAAGCCGTACGTCCAATCGATCATCTCTCAGCAAAGCTCAGTCTCATAAAACTCTTGAGGAACGGCCTAGGAGGGTCCCGGTTCCTGAGACTCCGGTAACTGAATTCGAAGACACCCCGCTATCTCCGGAGAGCGAGTCGGGTGCGCAGCCCAATATTCTTGTTCTCGGAACCGCGTCAGATAGCAGCCGGGGAGGTCGATGGTCCAGCAATGCCTCGAGTCTTTCCAGCTACTCGCACAGCAGCGCCAAGACATCCAGTACTGCCACGACCGCGACAGCTGAAGACAGCAACGTGACTCGCATAAAAATCTTGATTCTCAAGGCGGCTATGATCGTTGGCTATACCCGAGACGCGGCGTCTGAAGGCAAGGGCGGAATGGGTTCTCTCCAGACGTTCGTCAAGCAGCTTCCGCTTGGCTCCTTCGGCTCCCTACCATCCCACGCAACCCTCTTCCAAAGCTACAAAGCCCTCATTCTTTCCGATGCTGTCCTCCCGCGGTATCCCAACCTGCCGGCCCGAGGACGACGTGCGACAGCATCCGAGATTGCCAAGGCGGTCCTGTATATGATGCATCGTTCGAGCCAATACGCATTCCTCAAGGATCTCTTCCGGCTTGTATTTAACTTTACGGTCGACGAGGCCGAGTCGAGGAAGAACTTTAGCATTGTCGTATAAACTCCACGAGATATATTCCTGGACTCTATTCGACAGACAGACCTCGACCGTGATCGGCCGTAAATATCACCTTCGCTTCGGAATATCTTCCACGACCCTACATACCCATCCATGATTTGATCGGGGTAACTGATTCTACATATGCATACTGCTTGTCGTCACGAATATGCTGACGACGATTCGCGGGTTATCCATGGCCTACATAACCAGCCTCCCTCACCACTATATTCACACTTATATTGAATTTCTTCGTCCGCAAGATACCCATTTTCAGGATGCGACCTTCGTTTTTACAAAGTCCGTTTTTGTTTTCTATTTCTACCTTCAGGGAAAATGCGAGGCGCAAATTTGGAGCATGCAAAGCAGGAAAGATGATGACGTCTGCTTGTTTTCCCCCCTCTTCTATATGATTCACCGTGGATATAACTGTTTAGAAAAATGTTTGTTTTCTCTCCTTTGTCAATCTAGCAGAAGGAAATAAAGGGCCAAATGTTTAAGATGCCCAATGCTCAAGCTGGAGGTGTGTAGGGCGGCAGTTTGCTTCGATTTGATCCGCTGCTTGATGAGAGATAGTTGTTGAATGAACACAACCATGGCGTTTATCATGATTGCCTTTTGAGTCTGCTGGCATGTTTTCTGCCTGTGAGTGCATTGGGCTTGGCTGCTTGGGTTTGTCTAATCCAATGTAGAAGCCTAGCCGAAATGTATTTGCTGCTTGATCTATTTCAGAAGCCAAGATAAAGGGACTCTCTCCTCTGGTCCCTAGTCAGGCTCGTTCACTACAAAGTATAAGTTGACCCTGGCTCCCTGCCCAGTCAAACCCTCAACTCTTTCTCTACCCGAACATTGGGTATGGGTTCAACTTTAACTTTGCGAGAAATGCCCCGTGAATGCCTGCCCCTTTCTTATATATATCTATTTATCGTCCAGAATCCTACCTACTAACCAGCAATCAAAGCTCATTGGCTCTGAGAGGCCACGGGAGCTGGGGGCGCCGCCCACGGAGCATCAAGCTGCAAAGGAAGCGAGGGAGGTGCCGAATATACGGAGTGAGCGGCGCTGTTGACTAGCCTCAACAGCAATAGCAATGGTATTATAGGAAAGAAAGCCGGGTTTACTCCTCGAATGCCGAGTCAGGCATGGGGATAGACGTCCCCGAGGCCAACGAAGCAGGAGTGGTTGCCGATGTGTAACCGGCTGGATCTTTGACATCAATGCACTCCTGATCCATCCGCGGAATAGAGAGGGGCAACTGCAGCTGGACAGCAAGACGACACTGCTATATACTTGGGAGGAGAAACCACGGTTGTGGAAGGCTGGTAATAAAGTCTCCCTTCCCCTCTATAGACCCGGTAGGAGACGACTAACACGTCGACAATTTAGGCTCCCGCCACGCCAGGACAGAATGCTGCGCGTCGTCAATATACCCAAGGCGCCCACTAATCTGTCCTATAACTAGAGGGTCCCAATGTCGAATATGTCTGAGGCGGCTATATATAGCATAGAATCACCTGCTTTGCCCTGGCCCGTTATAGAAAGGCCGTGGAAGGCTGCAACCGGCAAGAAGCGATGTCGGTGGTTAGTCTGCCCCTCGAAGTAGCCGTCCCGAAATTTTAGATACGTACGCTAACTCTTCGACCTCACTCTCCCCAGCCCAAGGGAGAGTCGAATCTACAATCACTATTATAGCTAGTTTTCGAGAATGCCTCCCTCGAGATAAAAGGTTTGGCTGTCGAGTACACCGCCGGATTATACAGCGCTCCAGCATCGTGAGAAGCTTCTTTTTCCACAGTTGCCGCCATTTCGAGGTGGGCTCGCCACAAGTCTTCCCTGCCACAGCCCTCGATACCTGTTTAAGATACGGGGTTGATGAAGAGGCCGGGACCATTCATGAGGGTATTTACAACATGCAAAGTCGCCGAGGGTCACGTCTTGCTACGAACGAAAAACATGCCTTTATTCACGAACGTCGGGAATCCACGCCCTGACGGCGACTGCAAAGCGGCAAGTTCCTCGTAGCATCATTCCCGAAAATGGCGGGCTGAGGATTAAGAAAAGCACCCGGGTGGGTATATAATACCGTTTGACAAGATATGAGAATCCCTTGCTCCTAGAGAAGGAGAGCCTGCGCCGTGGGGGGGAGCAGGACGCAGTTGCCAGAGGAACAGGCTGCATCTTCACAGGCGTACCTAGTGACAGCGACGTCGACCGCGGAAACATGGTAACCCTTGAGCGACCGGGGCAGCGCTCTATATAGACTCTCTATCAACTCCCCCGACTGCAACGTTGTCCATCTACGAAGAGACCCGATCTGGTCTTTTATATAATAACGGGAACTCCGCGGGGGCTAGGATTCTCCAGCCTTGCACTCGCTGGCCGCTAGAGGAAAGGGAGAGAGTGCTGCCATCTCCAATTGAGTTAAACCGTAAGTCCCTGAGTCGACCAACACACCGGCCCCGGCCGAGGGCCTGGACCATAGAATGTAGCTACGGGTGCTAACTGTTATGATTTACCAGACATCATACAATCGCGACGACGGTTGTGTTCGGGGAGTGTTATATATGAACTGTTCGACAAACCGCCCCGAAAGACATCGCCCGGAAAGCCGTCGAACCTACTGATACATGCTCGGTGTGTCGGGCTCATACGACCAACTTTATAAACAAGAATGGGAAAAAAAGAAATAAAAAAAAAGGCATTAAATCTCTATAAATTCTATGCTTGTCTACGTGCAAAAATACCCCACCAGCACTTGACTTCCTCGTCGTCGTTGGCGTCCCAATCGTCCTCGCCTTCAAGCTCACCTTGCTCGAGGCACTCTAAGGGAGGTTCGCCCTGCGTCATTAGCGCCTTAAAGCTGTCCAGCAGTCCTATGGTGGTTTGATCGCGCTTTGGAACCATGACGATGGCCCTCGCCTCGGTTCCGAGGGCGAGTTGAGTCAGGATGGCGCTGTGAAGCAATTCGGGGTGATTGTCATCATATAGAGGATCGGCCACTAGAATGATCTGTCATATCCAAAGAAAAAGAGGAAGTTAGAAGAAGAAGGCTCCGAATCTAAGGGGGTTAGATGTCCAAAAATGAACGGGGAGGGGAAATCTCGTCTAAAAACCTTGAACTGATTCGGCGTCCCAAAAAGCGTCAGGTCAATCTCATCCTCCCCTTCTCCGCCCCACGTAAGAGCCCCAACCTCAACAGAGCCGCCCAAGCCCTCAAGCATCTTCGCGTTAGCCTCAGCATTCGCCGCAAGATTCGGCACGATCCCCGGCAGATCGCTCATCATGACGTGCGTCCGCCACGTCGCCGCGGCCGCCAGCCCGAGAAGTCCCGTGCCGGAACCGAGCTCGAGGACACGGGGGCGCGGCTCGCCTAGACTCTCGTCGAAGAGGCGGAAGAGGAAGGTGGAGGCGAGGGTGTCGAGGTGGAGGGCGAGGAGGTAGGAGGAGCCCCAAGTTTTGAAGCCGATTGAGTCGCCGGTGAGGGCGGGTTCTTTTATGATGAGCTCGAAGGGTTGGGCGGTGTCGGTGGCGAAAGGCCAGCGGCGGGTTATCTCACCCATGGCTGTTCGGGTGTTAGTTATAAAAATAAAAAGGAACTGTGACGGGCGGGAAAACGAGGGGGATATACCTTGTCGGCCAGAACGCTCCGATATACGTCGACTGGCTAGTTCCCAGAGAGTCTCTTTATCCTCGTCGTCGGAGATCCAGCTGAGACTGCTCTTGACTATGCCGGAGAGATAGAGAGCAACATCACGGCGGTGAGAGAAGCTGGCCTCCTGCTCTGAGATGATGTCATCCCGGCGGCGGTTGTGGTTCCAGATTGGGGGTGTGAGCTCGAGAGACTCTAGACACGCCAGGAGACTCTCAAAGGGCGGACGTTGCCAGAGCTGGGGAAAGTCGTGGACGGAGGCCATGACGGTCGGGGATGAGTGATGCGGTGAACGAGGGTGAACGAGGGTGAGTCAATGGTGAGGGGGCAGAGGGTGAGTTTGGTAGGTGCTTAATCACTATTGGAGAGCAATACGATACAACTCAATGAAAAGAGCGATAGAAATGTTATAAGAAATCCATACTGGGAAATATACAGGAATTATTCTCTCAAGATGAGTGGATTTACTAGCAGGGAACATCACGATGAAGTGAGATTGAAATCTTCCTGGGGTGCGGGTCGCAGATTCCACCAAGTGGACCGCTTTTTTTTTTGGTCGTAGAGATCGATGTGGGGCCCGAATTTTTTGCAATTGGAGTTTGTTTGGTACTTCGCACTAAGCATTTTTCTCCCGCCCAGTCTCGTAGTCCGGCATCAGGGGCTCTAAACTTCAGGATTCCTTGCCCGCAGAGAACCACTAATTAGTCTCATGTGGTTTGGATCTTTGATATTGTCCTTGGTGCAGGGAGAGTGTTCAAAGACTTGCAAGAGGTGCGGCCAAGAGCGCATCTCCAAGCCACTTCGAAGAAGAGTGCCTTATCACCCTTGCTATCTGCCTCCCCTCCGATCCTGGGTTCCCTTTCCATGTGCCGCATCTGGGACAACGCATCTGCTGCCTGGTTTTCTCTTTTCGTAGAGAACACAATGCAGCTTACGTATACGTCGGTATTTAGATCTTAAAGAGTGTGGTAGTATTACAAGACATGTTCTCTCGACTGGAGAGAGGCGCATAACGCAGGGAACATCATGAGGAGCCGTGATTGAATTTTGAGCTACGGTTGCCGAAGAGGCCTTTCTAAACACTTAAATAGGGACATCGAAGAGGAAAACCAACACTGTGACCCCGCCATACAGGGCAGAGAAGCATAGAATCAGCCAAACCTGGAACAGCTTCTTATTAAACCATTCCGTTTCAAGGTCGGTAACGCCGTCCTGCATAGTATCTAGATCGGATTGAAGAAGGTCACGAGCTCTCCCGAGTAGATACTTCATGTGGCGTTGCCGAAGAAACCTAGTTAGAGTTGGCTTGATTACAGTCTCGACTCGGGACTCCCTCCGGTAGACCATGTAAGCCCGATCTGAGTCGGTGCTCGCGGTATTGGCTGGTTGGTTCAAGACGACGGCCGGCATGGCAGCTGGCGCGGACATTTGGGTTGATAAAGGAGATTCTAGCGGCTTGTATGTTGCTGGTGCAGTCTGGCTTCGTTCGAGTTGCAGCTCAGGGGTACTAACGGGACCAGCCGCAACTGCTTCCTCTTGCTGGTTCGTGTCGTCTTCTGCCCCTGGAAGATCTCCTGGAGAAAAATGTCAGTGTGGCTCCTGAAATAGCTTCTACTGCAGCTGGAATTTCGCCCTTCACGTACTCCAAATTTCTTCTGCAAAAGTAGAGATGGGCAAAGCTAAGAGTAGAAGGGGCAGAATCTGCCCAAACCCCCATTCGTTTTCGTCGCCTTCTCGGCCGTGGTCCGCCGCTCGTCTCCGCTGGTAGAGTATGCCGTATATGCTGCCGATCAATAGAGTGTAGACTCGAAGGAGGTCAAAACACAATGAGAATACGATCTCGCGGAATGAGAGAAACATCACGAACGCAACGGTAATAATGCGCCGTTTAATCTTGAATTTCGTAGTCTCGGCATCGGCGGGATTCAAGAGCGCTCTGTTGCGCACCCTAACGAGTGCTCGACTCGGGAATGAAAAGAACCAATAGATAAAGCTGGTAATTTGCGCCATGGGAGGCCACCCAGAGACGCTCGGGAAGAGCAAGACGGTAATGGACCAGAGTGACCAGAAGAAGACGACCACGTCGATGGTGAGCATCCCGGCTTCCTTTGGTGTAAACCACTCGGAAATGGCAAGCTTGTCGAACACGCACTGAACGGACAGGCCATACATTCTATCAACCATAAAGTAATCGTTCCACAGAATGAACCTACTTGCAAAAATGCCAGCGGAGAGGGTGAGGATCCAGATGTATCTCCACACCCTCGTGAACAGCCGTTCATGCAAAACGTCGACAACCGCAAGGAGCATACCCTGAAAGGTGATAAAGGAGAGGTAGGAAAGCTCCAATCCGATGTAAAAGTGATATTGCGTTACCGTGCAATGTCTCGAGTATAGAACGATGAAAATCGACGCACCAGTAATAAGTTGGATGTCGGTCAGTTGCAAGCAAATGGCCTGGAGCTTCTCCTTTGGGATCGTTCGAAGGCGACGCGGCCAAAGAAAGTCGAGCAACTCGCGTACTCGACGCGGTATGATGTTTTTCCAGACGAAACGTACGAGGCGATCCGCTCTGTTCTGGAGGAGAAAGTCCAGTTTATTGGAGAACCTCTCAGGTACCACACCCTCAACGAAAAGATAGGTGATCCCAGCGAGGCCACTCGTGAATATCGCATAGATGAAAAAGGAAGCGATGACCTATAGCAAATAACGATGTATAAACAACTGACCTCCCAAGGAGGTCTGGGGTTAACGTTTAGGTACATACACCGATGCCAGCCTATCCTTCCGAATACTGGTCAGAATTATAATCCATGACATACTCTGCAGAGATACGGTGACAATAGGTGTTCCTCACTATATCGGGATCCTCGTCAAAGGGGTAGGGCGCTACGCTTTCGTTCAAGCTAGCTTCCAGATATTCATCATCGCTCGCGCAGAAATATGTGCCGCAAATTCCCATTATGTTTGGAGCCTGATCTGAGGCACGGAATTGCCTCTGAAGGGTGTAGTAGATGAAGCGCGCGTTAGAAGCTAAGAGTAGAAGTAATAAGTATGATGGATTCCATTTGCCTAAATAGCCTCAGGGTTAGAAATCTGTCGTGTTTTTAAAATGTTCATCACTCGCTAGCTATTGAAGAGAATGGTTGACGCGCGCAGCCTTGCGGCGGGCTGGGCGCATCTCTCAGCTGTGATGATGCCAAACCCCCGCAATAATTTTGAGCTGATACGCCACCACCCGCCGATTTTCTACTCTCTTGGTGATAAGACAATGCAAGCTGCCACCCCTCCATGCTCGCGACAGCATTGTACTGTGGGCGCCGATTCTGACCACATTGTATGTTGATCTTGCCTTTCACAGCCAACCGCCTTTATATAAGGCTGAAGCGCTATTAACATGACCCAGCTTGAACAGAAAGATGGAGCTGTAAGCAAAGAGCGAAGACATTCGGGTTCATGTTTGGCATGTTTTGCAAACCTGGAATAAGGATGATGATAACGAAGAATCGGGCATTTGAGGGTGATGACCCTGGGCTGCCCCTCGGCGCAGAAACGTGGGAATGCGGCATGTCAAAGCCCAGGGCAGCATAAGTTCTAGTATTAATTATGAACGAGGAATCAACTCCGATGAAAAGAAGGGGAAAACGTTCATCCTTTGGTGATGTCTGTCAATTGGCCAATGTCAAGAAAAATCCATGCGGTAAGGCGGCAGTCCGGGCCTGCCTGGCCGGGATCGGAATGTTGGTGTCTCTACGTCTAGATCCAGAAATTGATGTTTTGAATTCCTCAGTGCTTCAGTTTCAGTCGAGGATGTCACATTCGCATTTGCAAGATACGTACCAGAGCGCGTTCCTGAAAACGTTGGCCACTTCATCGTCAGCAGCCAGCTGACAAGGTCCTGACAGCTGATGAACTGGAAATCACATGCAGAACATTAAACTAACGCCCAAGCAGGCTGTTATTGGCCACCCCACTACAAGGCTGACCGAGCCCAGGCCCTCCAATGACTCACCGCCCAATACTGCCCACTGCCCTATAAAGTTTTTCTGTGCTCAGGGCAACTTCATCTTTTCCTCCTTTCCCCCTCTTCGTGGAGCATCGTCCTCTTCAACGCTGCGTTTCTATGCTACAAACGGAGAGAAGCCCGTCTCATTTCGAGACGAGCCTCTCTCAAGAATCCACCCTTCTCTTCACGGGGATTGATGTGTTCATCCATCAGGCATATGAGAAATTCGGAGTAATCTCTTCACCAACCAACCCACATGGTCGGGCTCTGCTCGTCCTGGGTCTGCCCGCAAGGGTCTGGCGTCACCGTGCGTCTGCAACTGGCACCAGAAAAGCAGGTATGGAGATTGAAGGATGGGATTCTCTTCGGAGGGTTCCGTCCTTCTTCACTTCATCTACCTATGGGAGGGCCGTTGCGAAGATTGTGTTTGAAAACACTGGAGTGCGATACGCAGCGTGCTGGACATTCCCACCCTCTTCTCTTTCCGAGGAGGGGGAGGGACTAGTACAATTCGATTCCGATTATTCTGTTGAGGACGATGCTTCACCATTCTTTTTCTTTTCTATCTTTTGGGCGACAAAGCCGGACTCTGAACCTCCTCGTGGTGTCGCCTGGAAACTTGCATTTTCAAGGCCAACTCAGAGACGCAGCTCCTCGACTATGTGTGTGCGCGTATCCTCAAGTATTGGTACATGGCTTATTTCCCTGGCGTCGGCGCTTAGCATTATCACGAAGCTGCCACCAACGCACTCGGACAAACTTCAGGGGCTGCGTTTAAAGAATAGTTACAACTACCAAACTTCCGCTTCTCCTTCGCCAGTGTTTCCCACTTCCTGCTCATCTTTTCCATCAGTTTTGTGCTCTTCAACGTTATCGTCCCCCATCTCCTTTCGCAAAATAGACTTCACAATTTCCATCATCTTGATCGTTGCTTGACAAGCCTTGTAACTGTGTCGAGCGTTCTCGGCGACGCTCACGGCTTCGGTGATGGCGCTGTCAGCACTCTTAACAAGTACCTGTAGGTACTTGGAATCATATTCGTCTTTCCCACCCAGCAGTCTGGCACTGATTCTCTTAAGTTCATCGCACTGCTCCTCCAGTTGATTAGGCGTGCATACAAACCCTTCCTCGACTCGTGCATCGGACCTGCACTCGTTCTCAGTTTTCTTCCTCCACATCCGATCGAGGACGACATCGTCAGAAAGGGACCGGATAGAGTGGGTGACGGAATCGAAGGCCCGTAACTGACGGCTGTAAAACTCGTGGGCGTCGATGACCGAGCGGTGGAGGCGAGCGATTCGTCTCTTGACTTCCTTGAGGATGTCGGCATCCAGGTTCGCGAGTTGGTTCTTGGAGGTTGCGTCGAGCTTAACCCCGTTCATGACAGTGGCGGCATGAAAAGTTGGGCTGGGCATGGTGGAGTTTTGGCCGGCTTCATCACTGCGATATCGTCGCGAGCTGGTGGCGTGGAAGGGAAGTGGGAATTGTCCTGTGGGATCTTGGGCGATGTAGAAGGGCCCGAAGAAGGGTGCTTGAGGGCTAGTAGCTTGATGGATGTGGTGGTAACACTCTCGACTGGGTTGATTGGGAGTGATGCGGATGCCGGATCTCTGCTCCCAGTCAGAAGCAGAGGAACCCGAATCTTGATTGTGAGACCGATGGCCTTTTCTATGCGCAGACATAGTAAATTTCCTATGGTGGGTTGATTGATTTGTGATGTGTTTGGTATCTGGTGTGAGAGAGTTTAGAATTTAGACTGTGGGCTCCGGGAAGGGGAAATATATAGATCTAGGTATGTGCCATAATCACTCCTGGGAGAAATGAGAACTGGAGCTTCGGAATATGTCTGAATGAATGAATTGATTTGATATGCTTGCTATTACTTGCTTTCTGATTGAGCAGCTATTGATGCTCCATGCTCTATTTGATGCTCCTCATTGAGCCCTTTCTTGGGGTCTTCCACTAAGCCCACATCGCCATTACTCCTGTGATAAACTGAGGTAAGAACTGGAGCTTGGGAAGATGCTTAGATGAAGTCTTGATATGACATACTTATTGTTACCTTCTGATCGACTAATTGCTCCAGGCTCCAGGCTCCATTGATACTCCAATTTTGAAGTCTCTCCTTGATTGTCTACCGTGCCACCCCTTCTTGAGGCCTTCTTTCTGATATTAGCCAACTTATACCAAAACCCAATTACTCCTTTCGAATCCTACTTGACAAAGGGCAACCTGGGGGATTTAGTGTTCCGCGATAATTGTATCAATTGCTCAAATGTTTTATTCATTGCTAGCATCTATCTATCCCATTCTCAATTTGACAAAGTCTACATATAGCTTTGAGAAGCCAACAGGGGCACCAGGGATCAATGAAGAGCTCCAACTATGCCATAGATCTCAAGAGCAATCCAACATCGAACTATATCGATAAGTTTGGGTATCCCGTCCCTCCCGGCGCCTTGCAGCGGCAAACTTGACCCGCTCCCCGAACCTTATCATACTTCCCCAAACTTTAAAAAAAATAAGAAAAAAGGCCCAAGGCGCAAACCTTATTTCCTCCCGTGCCTGGCGATCAGGGGGGCGTGTGGAAAGTAGTCGTCTCCACGAAGCACTGGGTACACTGTATGGACCAGCATTGATGAGAGTACAGTGGCTCAAGGTGTGTTTAACGACCACTTGATTTGAACATTCCTGTCCTGATCAATCTCTGTTTTTGGCGATGATGTATTTTATTTGCCCCGCTAAATAAGGGTGTCGACAGGATCTGGATTTGGATGGAGGGGCAACGTGCATGAGAAAAGGCAGCAAATAATTCCGGCGCATCTGTAAGTCATCCGTCAGTTGAATTGGCCTGGTGGGGTGTTTGCGCCTGTGCTTTTTGTCTTTTCCAATTTCCAGTCTTCCATTCTAAACAAACTCGGGACGGTGGTGGAAAATTAGGAGAAGAAAAAGAAATAGCAAAACATTGATAGAAGGCCTGCGTAGGGAGGAGTTCGGAATAGAATACATCAATTGATCGTCTTCCTTCCCCAATGGGCTTCAAGCCTCGCGGGTACCTTAATCTACCCCAGATGAAACCTGTGTCGAGTTAAGTACATATTCGAGCTACCTCGAGCGGAAGGTGCGAAGGAAGTCGTCCCGGATTTATCATGGGAGAGGGAAAACAAAAAAGGAAAGAAGACAAAGACACGGGGACAGCTTGATTCCAAGTAATACCCTGCCTCAACTACTTACGCACCGCATTGATATGTATACGAGTACTTCGTGCTTCTGCGGCAAAGGGCAAAGAAAATGCGGCTCGTCACCCCGGTTTTCCAGACGTGGTGATGCCCAGCCTTGGCAAACTTCCCTTCCCTGCAGACCGACGCAAGCATAAGAAGTACGTCCCTCTGTCGTCCGTCGCAGTACCTGTGTACTTCCCAACCCTTCACTTGCTTCTCGCCCTGCCTGGCCCTGTACCTACCCACCCTGCTTGGCCATGTTGCACACTCCCATCCCATCCATGTCATGTCGCGTCGATCCGCTCCGATCGCATGAGTTGATCCCATCCCTTTCGGAGTCAAGTGTCTCTCTCTCTCTGTGCCCAACCCTCCCCCCCTTCTGACTTTACTCTCTTCTGTTATTAACCCCACGTCACGACAGATTTATGCGCCTCGCCAATTTTGATAGAATCGGCCTGCGTGGCAGTGAACTTGAAGATTTACGTGGGAATACGAGACTGGGGATATCGTATATTTTGTTTTTTCTGTCTCCTTGTTTTTTCACTCAATGCAAGGGGGTCGTTTGGGATTCTCATTATTTGTTATTTGTTATTTGTTTTATTTTGGGCTCTTGCTCCATCTACGTACAGCAAGGACTCTCAGTTCGTATTTGCCGACATCCAGCATCTGGTCTGGGCCTAAGTGAGAGAGAGGGAGAGGACCGACCTCGGTACACGAAAACATTGACCGCCGCCT